GGAGAGAGACACTAAAAACGACAACTTATATTTTAAATAGAGTACCAATTAAAGCAGCTACCAAAACACCTTATGAGCTTTGGACTGGGCAACAGCCTAGTCTGAAGCATTTTCATGTGTGGGGTTGTCCAGCTGAGGCAAGGCCTTATAAGCCAAATGAAAAGAAATTGGACTTCCGAACAGTAAGTAGTTATTTTATTGGTTATGCTAAAAGATCCAAGGGATATAAATTTTATGATCTCACATTAAAGACAATTTTTGAGACGGAAACTGTTACGTTCTTTGAGGATATTGAGTTTGGGGGAAAGAATAAGATTAAGAACTTTATATTGGAGGAAGAATCGGTAACAATTTCAGAACCAATTCAAATAGTTACTTTTGATAAAGTAAGTTCGGAACCTCCACAAGACATTTATGATGAACCCCTTACTCAAGATGATTTGGTTGTTCATGAAGAACAAACTCAAGATTCTCAAGAACCTGTGCATCATGAGCCAAAAAATTTTCGAAGATCCACTAGAGAAAGAAGAAGTGCTATTTCGGATGATTACATGGTATTTATTCAGGAACATGAGGAAAATAATGATATAATGGAAGATGACCCAGTTAACTTCCATCAAGCTATGCAAGGTTCTAACTCTCAAAAGTGGATTGAAGCAATGAAAGAGGAGTATAAGTCTATGTAAGACGATAAGGTTTGGGAACTTGTCCCATTACTAGAAGGTATGAAACCCATTGGTTGCAAGTGGATATTTAAGACCAAACGGATTCTAAAGGTAATGTGGAAATGTATAAGGCTCGTCTGGTAGCTAAGGGCTATATCATAAAGTAAGGGATTGACTTTAAAGTCTCTTTCTCTCTAGTTTCATCGAAAGACTCTTTTAGGACAACCATGGCTCTTATAACACATTATGATTTGGAGCTTCATCAAATGGATGTCAAGATGGTGTTTCTCAATGACAACATTGATAAGACAATTTATATGGTACAACCATAAAATTTTGTGCAGGAAGATCCAAAGAATATGGTTTGTAAACTGACAAAATCCATTTATGGACTAAAACAAGCATCTCGTCAATGGTACTACAAATTTCATCAAGTAATTCTCTTATTTGGCTTCGAGATGAATATTATTGATGATTGTGTGTATCATAAGTTTAAAGGGGGATAAATTTAGTCTTAATCAGTACCCAAAGGGGAATTTGGAAATTGAGGAAATGCAAAAGATTTCCTATGCATCAAATGTAGGGAGTTTGATATATGCCCAAGAATGTACACGTCCAGACATAACATACATAGTTGAGATTCTAGGCAGATATTTAAGTAATCCAGGAATAGACCATTGGAAAGTAGCAAAAAGGGTCATGAGATATTTAAAGAGAACAAAAGAGTATATGCTCACATACATGAGGTCAGAACATTTTGAGATCGTTGGGTTTTCTGACTTGGACTTTGTAGGATGTCAAGATAGTTTGAAATTCACTTCAAGTTGCATTTTCATGTTGCCAGGTGGTGCGATTTCTTGGCGCAACGTCAAGCAAACCCTTACAACTTCATCCATTATGGAAGCAAAATTTGTAGCATGCTATGAAGCATTAAATCATGGAATATGGCTGGGAAATTTTGTCACAGGGCTGCAAATTGCGAAAGACATTGAAAGACCACTTAAGTTATATTATGACAACAAATCAGCTGTATTGTTAAGGAAAGAGTACAGAGTGGACAAATTTCCATAGAACAATTAGGGACAACTTCCATGATAACAAATCCTCTAACTAAAGGACTTCTGTCCAAGGTCTTTCATGAGCATGTTGCTCACATGGGTGTTTTACAGTTTGAGAAATTTGTGGTTTAGTGGTAGTTAGTCACTTTCATATATTTTATGTTCTATGTTTAATTTCATGTATGTATACATTAATTATTATTTTTTTGGACATATTTGGTTATCTATAGATATGCGGTTTTTCGTTCATTCATTACACTTTGCACATTAAGGTTATTATATCGATTTCGATAAGTTAAAGTTTTGACCAGTTGAAAATAGATGTGTACAGATCACCTTCACGTAATTTTTCATGCTACATATTTCATGATGAATCCATGTCATTTGGTTATGTCAGGATGAGTAATCATTGTTGGTTTTAGTTACGATGATGCAATGAAAAACTGATTTGGTTCTATATCCTGATATGATTGATGAACATGACTTTTGGAGTATGTTAAAGGAATATAATGACAATTTTGACCTCATAAAATCTAATACATTGTAAGGTTGTAAGGACATATATATTTGTGACCAGTGGGAGATTGTTGGCAAAATTTGGGTAATGTATATATATGATACATAATTTAAATGTGTTAGGGCCATTATTTATTAAGCCAAATAATAAAGTGATCTGACTAAATTAAAGTTTTGGCTAAAAACATATGTCATGAAAATAAAATTGTGTAGAGACCATTGAACAATTTCTAATTTGATGAGTGACCAAATTGGAAATACTAAAACTTAAGTAATTAACCTAATTCTGATTATTTTAAGGGGTCATGGTCCTCTTCTGGGAGAACATAGACAGAACATAAGTTTCACTCCCGTTCCTTTCTTTCTATCCCCATCAAGAGAAAAAATCAAGAGAGAAATGCAGGTGCTCTTGAGGTGGAAGACCATAAAATCAATATAGTGCTCTACAAAGACATCATCATTATGTCAATATAGTGCTCTACAAAGACTTAAAAATTTTGTATAGTTATTTTTATGTTCATATAAGTTTATGAGGAGATGTCTAACCGGCTCTGTCAGATTCAACATCTCATAATCTTATCATGGACTTATTTAATTATCTGTCTTTACATTTCTGTCTTGTATATTTTATTTTTCATGTTCATGTAAGCTTATGAGGAGATGTCTAACCGGCTATGTCAGATTCAACATCTCATAATCTTATCTTAAACTTTATAGATATAACTGACTTTATCTCGGACAGTCTTCATTTCAGCTAGTCTGGTTTCAGGTTCTTTGCAAGTTAAGTAGTCACGTTGACTAACAGAAGAGATAAAGAGTTATAACTTTGTTTCTTATTTTCTGGTTCCCCTTCCCCCTTCTTTTTCTGGTATCAGAGCGAGAAATTCTTGGATACCTCTGAGTATATTTGCAATTGAACTGGTTTGTATTCGCTAGGATACCCTTTGTAGATTGAGCATGTTAAGTCCAGGAGAGTCATGAGAACCCTAAGTCCAGTGGATCTTCCTTTGTGGATTGAGGAATACTTTGCATATTGCGGCAGTCTTTGCAAATATATTTTCTTGTATATCTTTTATTTTCTTTCTTGTATATTTGTTTGTTTTTCTTGTTTAATCATGTTTTTGTATATCATTTAATCATAAAAAAAAAATTTAAGCCTTATAATTATCTATACTCTTTTATAAATATTACTTTATAGTGTATTTTGTAGATCTCCTTATTCTCCTCGACTTATCTACTTGCTATACTTTTTGCTCACCCTTTAATTTCCTACCTTTTTTTAAAATTTTTAAATTTTTAAAAATTTTAATGGAAGAAATACAATATTTTCTAGGTAAAGATTACAAAACAGCTCTAGAACAAATCACAAAATCCCCTCCAGTGGGATATAAAATACCTACTTCACAAGTAGACAATACACAAAATTCTTATTGGACAAAACATATAAAATACTACATTATTTATTCCTTTTAGAAAAAAATAAAATGTAAATGATGCTCTAATATACCTAATTATTAGTTTTAGTCCTATAATATTTTCTTTATCTTTTTAATTTTTTATTTATTTATTTTAGTCATTATATTTGTTATTAAACTATAAAACTACGTCATATTAATTTATAACCATTAATAAAGATAATTACTTTATATTGTGTACATTTTTTTCCAAATTTATTCTCAAATTGTTTATTTCTTTTCATGACGTTGAGTTTTTGTATTAAAAAGTTGAAATGCCACAGAATAAAAAAAATACAAAATTCTTTATAAGAATTACTTAAAAATATTATATATATTTTTTACACTAACTCTTTGAAGTATAAATTCATTTTCCCAAGCATAAACATATTACAATTTTATTTTAAAAAATAAATATTTAAACTATTATTAAAACAATAAAATTTCGCGAAAAAAAAGATTATAAGAACCAAATAGTTGAAAAAGTAAATTAGAAAAAATATTTTACAATAATTAAAAATTTAATTTAAATTTAACTTTGTCTTACTATAAAATTCATTTTAAAAATTGTTATCATCAAATATATTTTTTATTTTATTTCCTTAAATTTTTATAAAAAAAACAAATATTTATTTATAGAAAAAATTATATTTGATTTCAATTTTATGTGAATGATCTGGTTGAGAGTTTCTATAGTAATTTAATTACAAATTTAGTGAATTGATTGTATAGGTGCTATTGATTTAAAATCATTTTTAAGTATACAAATTTTTTTATTTTATCTCTCTAATTTTATATATTTAAATCCGGATGTTTTATAAAAAAATTGTATATAGTTGAAAATATATAAATACATTATTTTAAAAAAATTATCTCATTGATTTAAGATGTTAAATCCATTATTAATAAATATTATAAAACTGATTTTCAATATTTCTCTGACTTAATTGAAAAGATATTATTATTTATAATAATTCTAAGAGTATTTAACTAAAGACATGTGAAATAAAAAAATTAAATTCTGATTAAACTTTCTTTTCTAATAGTTTAGTAAAATTAGATTTGAACTCCTTAAGCAAATGTGATGTTAAAAAATTTATGAAAAGAAAAATAATTGGCGAGAAGAGTCTGAAGAGATATTTTTGTAAAAAAATGAAAGATATATATATAAGAAGAAAAATGGTATGAAAAAAAAAACGTGTTCGGTGTTTTAGTTGTTAGGATCGCATGGACAGGATTCATACAGAACATTAGCATTGGGTGTGTTGGTGTGGTTGGTAGGTAAGTTTAGTTCTTTCTTCTCAAACATGCCGATGCTGCTAAGGAAGGCCTGGGATATGGTGTCATGGAGATCCGATTCATCAACGTCAGCATCATCATCATCAACGACAACTTCTTCACCAAAAGTGGCACGTTCTGACATGGGTGAATTGGAGCAGCTACCCAATGACATTTTGATGCAAATTCTGAGGCTTTTGGGTCCAAAAGATACTGCGAAATTGAGTGTGGTTTGCAAGAGTTTGAGATCCCATGTGTCTGATAATAGACTTTGGGTTCACTTCCTTCAGACCCATCAGGCTGAACCCTCTGGGGATTCTGTTTTCTTTGCCGAGACCACCTTGAGTTCTGGCTACCCTCTTCCGTAAGTACTACGTTCTTCCTTCTCCACTTTTGCATGGATTCAAATTTAGTGCCTTGATGGATTTTGCTAGGAAATTTGCTAGTTTCTGATTGAAATTTTGGATTTTGATGGGTGGTGCTGGCGAATTGTGTTTAAAAGTTTGTGTTTGGATTGGTGGTGCTAGGGAATTTGGTGAATTGTGATTGAAAAATTGTGTTTGTTGGGCGGTGCAAGTTTTTGCTATGATGGGTCATGCTCATGGATTGATTGTTGCGTATGCCTGGTGAGTTTGATGGACTATGTGCTGATACAGATTGGAATTTTGTGTTGTGGTGATTGGTGCATGTGGTAATGATTCAAATTTTGTGGTCTGACCGGTCTCGCTTATGAATTTGCTGGATTGTGCTACTGGTGATTGACATTTTGTGTTTTGAAGGGTGGTGCTAGTGGTTGGTGTGGTAGTGATTCAAATTTTATGCCTTGGTCTTGCTTGTAAATTTGATGGATTGTGCTGCTGGAGATTGAAATTGTGTGTTCTGGTGGGTGGTGCAAATGGTTGGTGTTTCTTTCATCTATGATGGGTTGTGTGTGTTATCGCTGTTGTGCGCTTATGATGATTGATGATTTTAGCTATGGGGTCAGTCTGCATGTTTTTGGTGTTTTGTGCTTCTGTTTTGTTTGACGGGATGTGCAAGTGAATTCGCTTGGTACTTAGAATGATGGTGCAAGTGAATTTGATGGATTCTGTTAGATTGGAATTTTGTGATTTGATGGGTGGTCTTGTGAGCTCAATTTGACGAGTTATGCATGTGATTTGTATTGTATTGTTTTGTGATTTTGAATGTTTTAAGTTCTCTAAATTACAGAACATTCGTTGGCCACTGGCCCCAGCTATCATTCAAGCATATTTATGGCCAGAGAGCACAAGTTCCTGGTTCTATTATTATTGATGGTTAGTCTAGCAGTTTTGTACTGTGAGCTTATGTTTCTCTTACTCGTGATGACTATATTTTCTTTTACTTTTCATTTTGTCCATTCTTCTCTCTAGGTGGTTCTGGATATTGTAAATTTGGTTGGAGCAAATACGAATGTCCATCTGGGCGATCAGCGACGTTTTTGGTAATGATTTTATTGGAATTAGCACTAACTGAGGCTGTGCTTGGAAATTGTCAGTTTACCTTATTCTCATTTTGTATTTGATCAAGTGGAGCCTCAAAATAGCAGAAAGCACTTATGCAGATACTAGGCATTGCTTTCTCCTGTTTTTCAGTTTATTCTCACTTGGCTGCCTCGTTTCCTTCGTTTTTGTTAAGCAGGAGTTTGGTAACATTGAGTCTCCAATGTATACTAGGCTTAGACACTTTTTCGCAACTATTTATAACAGGTATTGGACCATTCTGATTTTCCCTTCTTTTTGGGTGAATGGTTACAGTTAACACTGAATAATCTTTTAAGTGAAGTGAATCCGTATTGGTCTCTCGCATTGCACTTTAGGATATCCATGTACATATTTAGCTGAACTGTACCAGACCAATCACTTTGTTGAGAGGGCAGTATTTTTAGTGATTGTTTACTTAAATTTTTATCACTAGAGAAATTTGCATAGTTATCATGGAGAAAGCCATAATTGTTTTGTTGGAAATATGAGACCATTTTCAATGTTCTTCCTCTTTCTAAGTAGCCTAGATACATTTTATAGCTAGGTTCAATGCATCGTAGAATGGTTATCCTTGTTTTGTTAGTGTTTTATCTTTACATTCAATGTAAGATTGCATCATCCCTACAATCAAGGGATTCTTAACTTATTTGTATTCCTTTCTAATTAATATTGTTGAGATCGGTTGTTTATGTATTTTTTAGTATTCTTTTTTAATATTCCTTAGACTAGGGTTAAGGGTTTGGGTTGAGGCTCATATCCTCTCTATTGTACCATTTTTTCTATAAATACAATGTATCAATGTCTTTGGTCACTGAATCAAACCCTAAATAAGTTTAGATCCCACACTGATTTCCGATTGCCTTTGTTAGCTCTGGCCGCCGTTAGCCGCCGTCCGCCATCGTCACCGCCGGTTACTGTCTCCATTTGGACCAGCAAAAGAGGGGTTTTGCTCGCCTCGAGGAGCGTGACTCACCCCTGCAAGTTGCTCCTCTATCAACTGCCCCCACACCCGGTCATCTTGGTGAGCCCTCTCAGGCACGTGCCACCTTCCAGTGGCTAGAATCAAGGTCGACCACCTCCGTTCGACTTGCTGGTGTCCTCCGAGTGCAGTGGTTCCCTTAATTTTCTGATGTGAGAACTGTGTGTGAAAAGTCCCGTAGGTAACCCTATTCGTTGGCTTTATTCATCTAAATCGGAGAAGCCAGATATGAAGATTTCTAATGAGGAGTATCAGGAGTTTTGAAGTTCAAATCTAGAAAGTTTAACAGTCAGGGTCAATCCTCTTCAATGTCAAGTGTTTCAACTGCATGCATTTCTCAACCTGTGGAAGGTCAGAACCTATGAATTCTTGATTCAAGTGCCTTTGATAATATATCTGGTAATAGTTCGTCGTTTCCCTTCATGTCCTATCCTAAAATTCCTCACTTAGTAGCTAATGGATCCAAAATGAAATTTCAAGGTGTTGGCCAAGTTCCTTTAACCCCATCTCTAAATTTAAATTATGTTCTTTTTATTCCTAATTGTCCTTATAACTTGATCTCTCTAAATCAACTTACTTGTTCTTTGAATTGTTCTGTAACCTTTACTTCCAATTCTTTTGTTATTCAGGAACATGGTACGGGTCGTCTGATTGGAGAAGGACATGAATCACGTAGTCTGTACTATCTAAAACCAAGTCCTTTGGTGTCTTGTCTGGTTTCTACTGCCCCTAAACTTTTGCATGATCGTCTGGGTTACCCAAGTCTATCTAAGTTGAAAGTGATGACTCCTAATCTTCAACATTTTCTGGTTTTAAAGTGTGAATCTTGTCAATTAGGAAAACATGTTAGGTCTACTTTTCCTAAACAGTCTGAAATTCAATGTAATTTTTCTTTTTAAAATATTCATTCGTTTAGGGACCAAGTTGTGTTTTTCTCTTTTGGCGTTCGGTATTTTGTGACCTTTATTGGTGAATTTTCTAGATGTACTTGGGTTTATTTGATGAAAGACATATCTGAATTTTTGTCCATCTTTGTGTCCTTTTTCAATGAAATTAAAAATCAATTTGGAAAGATAATTAAAGTTCTCAGAAGTGATAATGCCAAATAATATTTCTCTGCCTCCTTTTCTTCTTTTTATCTTTCCAAGGAATTTTACATCAATCAACTTGCCCTCACACCCCACAACAAAATAGCATTGCAGAAAAGGAAAAATAGACACCTTATTGAGACTACACGTTCTCTAATGTTGAATGCTAATGTCCTTGTTCATCATTGGGGAGATACATTTCTCACTGTTTGTTTTTTGATTAATTGGATGCCATCTTCCTCTCTTAAAATTCAAATTCCACATTCTCTTATCTTCCCAGATGATCCTCTTTTCCATGTATCTCCTCGTATATTTGGTTGTACTTGTTTTGTTCATAATGTATCTCCAGGTCTTGATAAACTAAGTTCTAAGGATTAAATGTGTTTTCTTGGGGTACTCTCGCCTTCAGAAATGGTATAAATGTTATTTTCCATCTTCCAAAAGGTATTATATGTCTGCTGATATTACCTTCTTTGAGGAAACACCCTTCTTTTCTTCTCCCATGGAAGATGGTTCATCAATTCAACAAGTTCTGCCTATACCTTCATGTGATCCACTTATAATACTTGTTTCTCTCCCAATTCAGTCTAGAGGTCATAATGATTCACCTCCTACATCTTTACCAGTTCCTACAGATAATTGTGATTCAGATCCGTCTCCATCAGTTTCTCATACCATGGATCCTTTAGCCTTATCTCCCACTATTACACTTAGAAATGGTACTTGTTCAACTCGCAATCCCTTTCCTATTTATAATTTTTTAAGTTACCATCGTCTGTCTCCTTCATATTCTTCTTTTGTTGTCTCTTTGGCTGATACGTCTATTCCTAATAATGTTCATGAGGCACTTGATCACTCTGGATGGCGACGGGCCATGATTGATGAAATGTAAGCTCTTGAGCACAATGATACTTGTGAGCTTGTTCCTCTTTCTCTTGACAAAAAGGTTGTGGGTTGTATATGGGTTTATGCAGTTAAAGTTGATAATAATGGTAAAGTGGATCATCCTTAAAACTCGTTTAGTAGCTAAAGGCTACACTCAAGTTTATGGTCTCGATTATTGTAATACCTTCTCTCTAGTAGCTAAGATTTTCACTATTCGTTTTTTCCTTGTTATGGCTGCGATTCGTCATGAGGAAATGATTTATATAGAGCAACCTCCTGGCTTTGTTACTTAGGGGGAGTCTGGTTTAGTGTACAAGTTACACCGATCTCTTTATGCCTTGAAGTAGTCACCTCGAGCTTGGTTTGGAAAATTCAATCATGTTATGCAGTTGTTTGGCATGAAAAAGAGTGAAGCAGACCACTCAGTGTTTTATTGTCATTCCTCTTCAGGCAAGTGTTTGTATCTTATGGTTTATGCTCATGATATTGTTATTACAGACAATGATTATACTAAGATCAGCCAATTGAAGAATCATTTGTTTGCTCACTTCCAAACCAAAGATCTTGATCAATTGAAATATTTTCTTGGTATTGAAGTGGCCTAGTCAAAAGAAGGTGTGATCATCTCTCAAAGGAAGTATGCTCTTGATATTCTGAAGGAGATTGGTCTAACAAATTGTAAGCCCATTGATACCCCAATGGACCCTAACTAGAAATTGATGAAGGATGAAGGAGAAAAGTTGTCAAATCCAGAAAGATATAGGAGGTTGGTTGGTAAACTCATTTATCTTACTATTACCAGACCGGATTTTTCTTATGCAGTTGAAGTAGTTAGCCAATTCATGCAAAATCTTTGTGTTGATCACTGGGATACCTTGATTCGCATTCTGAGATATATTAAAGGGACCCCAGGACAAGGGACCCCAAGACAAGGGTTGTTATATAAAGATAAAGGTAATACTCAAATTGTTAGTTATTGTGAAGCAGACTGGGCTGATTGTCCAATTGATAGAAGATCGACTACTGGGTATTGTATCTTTATTGGAGGAAATTTGATTTCTTGGAAGAGTAAAAACAAAGTGTTGTTGCTCGATCTAGTGCAGAAGCTGGTATAGATCTATGACACTTGCTACATGTGAACTTGTGTGGATCAAACAACTCCTTCAAGATTTAAAATTTTGTGATATTGGGTAAAGGAAGTTATTGTGTGATAATAAGATATCTCTCCATATTGCCTCCAACCCAGTATTTTACGAAAGAACAAAACATATTGAGATTGATTATCATTTTGTTAGAGAGAAGTTGTTGTCTAAGGAACTTGTAATTGAATTTGTAAGCTTTAATGAGCAACTAGCAGATATTTTAACTAAATCCTTAAGAGGACCTAGGATTCAATTCATTTGTTTCAAGCTTAGTACATATAGTTTATATGCTCCAGCTTGAGAGGGAGTGTTGAGATCTGTTGATTATGTATTTTTTAGTATTCTTTTTCAATGTTCTTTTAGACTACGGTTAAGGGTTTGGGTTAAGGCCCATATCCTCTCTATTGTACCCCTTTTTCTATAAATACAATGTATCAGTGACTTTGGTCACTGAATCAAACCCTAAATAAGTTTTCTCAAGTAATATAAATAAGAGCCTGATGATTTTTTTTTTCAAGCATTCAGCATACCTAATCTTGTATTCAAGTTGGTATCAAATATAAATAGATCATTCAGTTGATTGGTGATTCTCAATTCTGTACATTCATAAAAGCTTTGTTTCTAATTTTCTCACGTCTTACGTTATTGGCAGGATGCAGGTGAAACCAAATAAACAACCAGTTATTGTTTCTGTACCAATATGCCATTATGATGGTCAGTTTTATTTCATGATATACTTAAGTGGTGCTCAAAACAAAAGAAAAAGAAATCCTTTAAGAACTTTAACACAATTGTTATAATAGTTCAATTTTAAATTCAGTTGTCATCTATTTTATTTCTTTGTTGTACATAGTTGTTCATTGGTTTTACTGTAAACCCCTTTGTGAATTGACCTGACACGATTTCATGTGGTATTCCCTAAATTTTGGAACTATTTTGTTTGGAATCTAAGGTCTAAACCATTAAGGGGATGTCACAAACTGTCTCAGAAATGTTTGATCATCTGCCCCTCTGGGCTTGTCACTGGGGGCTTTGTCAAGTGCCTTAACAGGCACCCTTTCTTGGGAGCACGTGTAGCTCAGCCTGTCATGTGCCTTAATTGCTACCTTCCCATGTCTGTTAGGATCCCATGTCACAAACTTGTCTATGCTCGGGTCGATTCTGACATGCTCTCTCTCTCTCTATATATATATATCAATCTAGTTTGACATGTTTGGGCTGTTTCTTGGTGTTCATTGTGGTGATAATATCTGGTTCTTCATTGTTCGGGATCGTTTTTATAATTTTTTTTTCCAACGGTAGCCCTAGCTTCAAGCTCAGAAGCAGTGTCTGTTCCATTCTAGAGACGAGGCCACAATCTTTCTCTTGGATACAGTCTTGACTTGACATTTCCACTCCTATCATTTCAGTAAATAATACATAGTTTTCCTTCCATTATGATTTTCAGCTGTACAGTGTTAATCTATTTCCTCATTCCAGATACTCAATCAGCAAAAACTTCAAGACAACAGCTTAAAGAGGCAATATATGCTTCCTTGTTTGACATGAATGTTCCTGCTGTTTGTGCTGTCAACCAGGTAATTCATATTTATGCTTCCTTGTTTATTTGACATGAATGTTCTTTACATTTAATATATGTTTTTGCTATCAAGTATATCGAGTCAATGGTATATTAGGGTTTGACTGTCACCTTCTCTGTATTTGGTTTTTCTGCTGAGGTTGTAAGAAAATGAGAGCGGCAATGCACTTGATTAAGTGCAGTAGAATTGTTATTCTCTGTCAACTTACGAGTCTATACCTTGGAGAAGGAACCTTATTTATGACTATTCAATCATTATCTATTAATGTAATTATGCATGGTTTTTTGCCTAATGAGTTATGCGTGTTTCTGTTATTTCACATTATTTTCATGTTTATTTATTATCTATGTTGTAAAATGTAGGCCACTCTAGCTCTGTATGCTGCAAAACGAACTTCTGGAATAGTTGTTAATATAGGTTTTCAAGTCACTTCTGTAGTTCCAAGTATGCTCTGTTTCTTTTTCTTTTACCTTTCTGTCTTAATATAATTCTTAATTTATTTATTCCTAACAATATGGTTTTTGCATAAAGTTGTGTAAATTGTTCTTGAAGTGCAAATGGGGTTCACTTGAACTCATAATGCTTAAAGGCCATCACTTTGTTTTGATACACAAACAGTTTTTTTGTGTTAGAAGCTTATGAACATTTTTCTACTTATTCTTCTGTTGCGATTTTGAGCTGCATTATCTTTTCACAGTTTTAAATGGTAAAGTAATGCGCAAGGTGGGTGTGGAAGTTGTGGGGCTAGGAGCACTGAAACTTACAGGATTTCTCAGGGAAAAGATGCAATTGAATAACTTAAGTTTTCAATCTCTTTACACTGTTCGCACATTGAAAGAGGTATTGATATTCATTTTTGTAGTCTGAAATATTACAGTAAGGAGATTTACTCTAAGATATCAATCAGGTCAGGTGGTACCATAGTACATCTAAGAGACAGTATAAGACTCACCATTACAAATGAAATAAATTCTACTTACGTACATTTACTTCTATTTGTTTTCTTCTGGCTTTCTCAAATAGATTAGATTTTTTAATTCAAAATATTTGGCGTTCGTGTCTTCACCTAATAACCTACATTTTTAAAATAGTTGCTTCATAACATAGCCTTGTAAACAACCATTTGGTGGGGACAGCTACTTAAGACAGGAGCTTGGTAAATAAGACATGTTAATCTTTACCCAGAAGTGACCAATCCTATGGTGGGTACGAGTCATCTGAGACCGATATTGACGTAGTTGGCAGAAAACTGTATCCCTTAAACATTTGGTCTGAGGTTCCACCATCAAGTTCATGTGTGTGGAATCATATTCGTTGAAAGAAGTCAGTCCCTCGAATGTATCTCAGTTTCTTGAAAGATTATTTCTTCCCATTCCAAAAAAAGATTCATCTGAGAGTACCATGGGATTTTTCTATTTGAACAAATCCCTCATTATATCTTTCTAATTGTCTTTATATGTTTTTATCTCTTTTACCTTTCCCTTTTTTCACTGAAGAGTGGTGGGAATGATTAATATCCATCCTGTAGATATCTTTTACTTAAATGTTTTCTCACAGAAGTTGTTTCATAATTTGTTATTTCATGGCGACAGAAGCTGTGCTATGTTGCACGTGATTATGAAGCTGAGCTATCAAAAGATACACAAGCATCATTTGAAGCTGCAGGAGAAGGATGGTTTACCCTCTCAAAAGAGAGGTTTCAGACTGCAGAGATCTTATTCCAACCTCATCTTGCTGGAGTGTATGTTTTTCCCTTTTTATGTATTGCCATACAGTTATTTGCTTCAACCATAGAAATACTCTACCATGATCATGGCTATTCATCTCTCAAAAAAAGTGCATTTAACTTGAATATAAATAAAATTCTTTTCTTTTCTTTTTTTTTCCTCCTACCCCCCAACAAACTTAGGGTTCCCCGATTGCATTCTATAGGATAATTTGCCAATAATAATAATTAAAATATCATTTTTAATAGTTAGTCCCAAAAGCACAAGAATGAGAAGGTTTTGTTAAAATGAAATGATGGGCATGACTTATATAAAGTCTTCATTTGATATGCCTTCTTATGAACTGACTTTACCTATTTTGTTGTATTTTCCCAACTTTTAATCAAATTTCAATAATTAATGGTTTGTTTGATTGAACAAAGAAATGTTTTTTTGTTAAGTTGATGATACCAATTTTTTTCATCTTTAAAGTGTGCACATAATTGCTTCTTCTATCAGCTTTTACTGGATGATATTGAGTTCATGCTTTATGTTAAGTAAAATTCCATTCTTGTTTAGTTTCGTAAAGTTTTGTCTAGTTTAGGTTGAACAGTGTAAATTTCGTATTAGTTGATCCATGACAAACTCATGAGAATCAATCACAGTTTAATACTTAATTGGTATGATGGAAACATTAATGAAGAACTACAATAAGATAAATTTATCTAATTTGAGAAAAAGGAAAAATGACCACATGCACTTGTCTAGCGGTAACCAAAAAAGTGAAGGTAACATAGAGGATTTAGAGTGGACTGGGAGGAAAACTATAATATTTTTTATCCTTTGCCAGGCTAGTAAATGTTTAACTCAAATCTTGGTCTAAAGTTTGAGGGGACCAGTTGGCAATGTGTGTCAAACTAGGAAGATTTTGTAATAAATTGATATGCAAATCTAACTGCACTGCATGTCACTGGGCATAATATGTGGTTACAACTTACACTATTGTTTGTTTTATATATTCCCTGAAGCTTATGCTGCCCTCACTTGTTGGTTTAGGCAAGCCATGGGTCTGCACCAAGCCATAGGTCTCTGTGTGAAACATTGCCACTCTGCAGATTTACCAGGTGACAGTGATTGGTACAAGACTATAGTTTTATCAGGGGGGACTGCATGCTTACCTGGTTTGGCAGGTAAACTTCCTTTTTATTTTTTGAGACATTTTATATCTCTGCAAAAAGATGAAATGGCCTAGATCTAACTATACTACTTCTCGAACCATTCTGGCACAGAAAGGGTAGAGAATGAACTCCATGCCTTACTTCCTCCCTACATGTCCAATGGAATTAGAGTCATACCTCCTCCATACGGTGCTGATACTCCATGGTTTGGAGCTAAGATTATTGGCAATGTGAGTTATCTACCACCTCTTAAAAACATTCAAATTTAGTTTGCTTGATTGATAGTAGAGACATTTTACTTCATAGTCATTGTAGTAAAGAGGTCTCTGATTCAAGGCTAACTGTATTTGACATGTATACAGTTAAGCACCTTTCCTGGTCATTGGTGTGTCACAAAAAAGCAGTTCCGTCAAAAGCCTAGACTCAGTCTCATATGGTGATTAAAATTGATTTTCTCCATTATGCCCCCTCATCCTAAGAGGCAAGAACAGAAGATGAAAATTCTAGCAACTGCTATAGCATGTACAAATATTATGTTTTCCTTGTTGATAAGAAGCCTATAATTAGCATTTAGCATGCGAAGAATAATGTAATAAAGATTGAAGGCTACACCACAAGTGTGAAGAATCTATCATAGTTGAAGAGCAAAACCACAAAATGAGAGATTTGGTGTCGTTAGAAAAAATGTTATAAGATTGGATTCCAGTTCTGGTTCTCCCTCACATTATATCTTGAATTGAGATGTACCTTTTAAGAATGTCATAAACTTCTAAGATCATATGCTCATCAAATTTTAACTTTTCACCTTTGAGTTTTTTATCATTTGATATTTTTTTTTTATCTATAGTTCAGCATGACAACTTTTTATGGACTGAACCTAGTAGCACTTACGGCCACCCCCACACGAGATAATGATAATTTAGTTGCAACTATTAAACATACAATCCTTCACCATTATAATCTTTAATCCATCTTTTTAAGCAATGAAATGGACACTAAATGCACAATGATGCAAAACAATGGTAAACTGGTTGACAAAGATGGAAAATCATCATTTGGAAACTCTGCTATTTCATTTATGTTGAAGTTACCTTTGGATTAAATATTGGTTGAATTAACCTATATTAATAGTTATATAGTTTATAAACTAATATTAAAAAGATTTAGTAGCATAATTTTATATTATTAAAACTAAAAAATAATTTTATAAGATCTTAACATTTAAATTTTATATAAACTTTCACCTCAAATATATTATAATATTAAAATTGAAATTTTAGCGATGTAAGTTCTTTTTTAATATATATAATAAGTTTATATGTAAAATAATAAAGGAACGATAATTATTTAGGTTTATTTTTATTTTTTCCAAAAAAAATAAAATAATGTTATATTAAGTATCTTTCATCAGTTCACTGATTTTCATTTGGATTTTCAAAATATAGTTGATAACTACAGTTCAGACAAATGCTAAAATATTTTCATAATTGTCAATATTTTCATTGGAACACACCCTTAGTTCTAGAAGAATAACAGAGACAATTTTATTCAGCACATGTCTTTTCATGGTAAATAAAAGAGAACTGATAAATAATTAAGGTGAGAAAAAAAGAGGGAAATTAAATTATATCAATAATTTTATTACCTATTACACTATCAATAATTTTGCATAATTTTATTGTCATATCCAATAATTGAATTATAACTGTATATCCTTGTATAAGTAAAACTTTGATAAAATTGAAGAACAACAAAGGAAAATCAAATAATATATGTTTTAATATATTTTAAAATATATATATTAAGTCAATTTTTATCTATATAAATGAGATATTTTAAGTTAATAACAATTTCATATGCATATTCAATCTAAAAGTAATTTTTCATAAAAGTGAATAAACTCTGTAAAAGTAGATAAAACAGTATAACATCACCACCATCCCTGCAATGGAAGGCAACAAATTGCAAGCAAGGCTTGTTTCACAGAGCTTTGTGCAATAAAGTAAATGAAGGCATTTCAGTCAAATCAATTCAAAGCATATGAAGATTAAGCAGCAAGAAGGTTCAATTGGCACAAGTAATTTTTCATTACATAATTGGTTAATATAACCCTCAAACTACAGGCATATTGCCATTTTTTACTTTTTTGCCTCAAAAGGTAATTCACACACATACAAAAAATGTTAACTGATTATACATCAATATAGTGCAGGAAAAGAATGAAAGTTGGTATAGAAATACATCAGAATAACAAGATTAAGAAGCAGGTTGTGAGCATGAGCAATAGAGATGGACAGTGTACAACTTGATTTGAAGTGTCATCTGCTGATGCTGATGGTGGAAGTGCAGGACATTCAAGGCCACGCTTCCCATCATGACACTCGCTAGCAAAGAGGCCAGGAGGGTATTTTCCATAGAGATTGATGTAACTAAACATGGTTGAGGCACACTCATTTGTTAGATCATTTAAAACATCTGCATATGGGCAAGCAAATTCTTTAAATGATCCACAACATTCTTTGGGAGGGTATTGGGGTCCCTTGCATTTGCTTGTGATTATTGTGTAGTTTAAAAACTCAAAATTCACAGAACAACCTGCAAGTGCAAGATGAAAAACAGTCATCAGAATACTTATTTGAATGTTTGAAGCCGCATACTTTCAATATTGGTATGTATGTCTTAAGTGGTCAAAAAATTAGTATGTAGCAACTAGTAACCACTCATCCTCTTCAAACAAACCAACACACAAGTTGTAACAGGGGTGATGCAAGATTAAGAAAAATAAAAGTAGAATCACTTGCTCTGTACTTTTTGATCAAGTTGATATAACCTACCACTTCTCCATATGCATAAACCAGTTTGAATATTATGGAAGTAAGGCTTGTTGCATAATCAAAATCGCATGAAACATAGATGAATTACATTGCAATAATCTAGTAGCAATTGTTGGTCACCAGTAATCCAAAAATAATGTGCCAAGTTTCTTTAGTCTTAAAATAAAAAATAAACAGACCACCATAAATACAGCATATAGAAAGATTTGATGCAGTCAATCAATTATAAGGCAAGATAGATATGACATTTAAGACAATTATAGTCAAAGTTATCAAACTTAACATAGATAACAATTTGTTATTGGATGATAATGTAAACTATATACACTATTTCCCCTTGGAATCTTTTTCCTATAACTATCATAATTAAGGCCTTTGACTCCCCGGTGGGACTCCCTAGAATCCCTACAAGTTTTAGTCTTTTTGGATCAGCTATGTAATTAATTCTTTAGGTCAATCCTATTCCGTAAGAACTAAACTTGAATGTTTCAAAGTATACGAACTAAAAGTTAAAATTGTTGTATTTAATATAAAACAAACAAGTAATTAAACTTAAAATATAGGTCAATTCAGTTAACAAACAAGAACATAACATTAAACAGAGTTTTCCACTTTTTCTTTTGCTGTCAAAGCTTATTAATCGGGCAGATCCAAAAACATAAGCATAGAAAAATAAAAGACAACAACAAATTAAAAAGTTTCAACCTTTTTTCGCCTGGAGGAGGTTCCGACCGATACTAGGTTCAGAATAGAAAATGCCGTCTGCAAAAATCGAGAAAAACACCAAATGCCAATTAACTGAGAAAATCAAAACCAACAACAAAATCCAACTTGAAAGGAAAATATTTACCGGAAAGGAAAGTGGGAGTGAGAGAAGAAACAGAGAGGGCCAAGAAGAGAAGGAGAAGCGAGGAAGAAACCCAGAAGCGTTGATGGAGAGAAAACACCATGACTAGTTGAAAACTGAGAGAACAATGGGCAGATCCGAGGATAGAAAAAGAACAGGGGGTTGTTGCAGTTGTTGTTGATCTTGGTTCGTTTTGTTTTGAAATGAGTTATGTTTCTGATTTTAGTAAAGCAGAGAGAAAGAAAAAATAAAAAAGATTAAAATTGAAGAATGGTTGGAAGGATTAGAGAAGAAAGTGGAAAGAGTTGAAGCAAGAAAATTTTATTTGATTTTTGAGAAGATTAATAAAGAAGTGACAGAGATAATGAGTGACAGCAAAAATACGCGCAAACATGTTCTTGCGCAAGCTGTCTTTTCTTCAAGCAAATATAATTAATTTATTCAATGTTATTGAATTAATTTTATTCTAAACTGTTTGTCTTTTATTTTATTATAATTTAATTTTAGAAATAGAAAAATGATTATTAATAATATAATCTTTTCCAATAATGTTTTTCGTTGATAATATTAAATATAGTCATATTGATTTATTTTCTTTATTTTTTTAACTCAAAGTATAAACAATTCTTTTATTATTTATGTCTATTAAAAAAAAGTAATATTTCTTTTTATTAGTTATAAGTAAATAAACTAATACTTAGATATATGCAAAAGAAGAATGAAAGATTTAAATTAAGAAAGATTGTTTTTATAAATTTTTTTAATTATAATTTGCTGGTAACTATTAATTTCATGTATTAACAATAAATTTTTTCTTGAAATAAATAATTAAAGAATACTCAATTAAATTATTAGATATTATTATTAAGCAAAAAATTTTAAATAAAGAATTTATATATTTTAAACTTGAGAAAATTTTGATATTATTTTAAACATATTTGCGTTTGAAAACACAATATCAATTTATAGTTTATTTTAGTAAAAGTGTTATATTCTAAACTAAGAACTACAAATATAATAAATAATGTGCTTCAAGATTACTAAGAACTAAATAAAAGATGAATTTCTCTTTTCAATGACATACTTTACAACCAACTAATTTTCAGGTTAGTTTATATAGATAATAATTATATAATCTATATGATTCATTATTGAAAATTTTTAAAAGAGTTAAACCAATATATTATTTATAAGGTAAGAATTGATAATAAAAAAAATGTGAAATATAAGAGAATAATTACACTTAAAAGTAATGTTGATGTAGAGTTAGCTTTCAATATTTTGTATATTCTCAAGATAATTTATTTATTACGTGATTGTTACATAAAAGTGTATAACACAATTTATGGGTGAAATTCATATGGAAGAAAGTTGACTAAAGATGAAGATATGAAAGAGAAAAAATGTTGCATATTTCATGAAGAAACTTATCATGAAAGAGAACAGTAAAGATGAAGTTGATATCCATTAAAAGTTGAATGATACTACCATTAAGTTTATAAGTTTATAAGAAATAAAAGAAATGAAGTTGATCCATTTGTCACACTCCATTCTTATCTTCTGCCGGTGGTGGTGGTGGTGGTGGTGGTGACGATGAGGCAGGACACTTGAGGCCATTCTTCCCTTGATGACACAAACTAGCAAAGAGGCCTGGAGGGTATTTCCCATAGAGATTAATGTAAGTGAACATGATTGAGGCACAATCATTGGTTAAATCATTTAAAAGATTGGCATAAGGGCATGCAAATTCTTTAAATGCAGCACAACATTCTTTGGCCGAGTAATGGGGTCCTTTGCATTTGCTTGTGATTATTGTGTAGTTTACAAACTCAAAATCCACAGGACAATCTGCAAGGCCAAGTTCACAAACAAAAACACCACCATCACACTCCTATTCATTGCTAATTATGAGGGAGGAAGATTAACAGGCTATAACATAATATCATCTAAAAGGATAACAATAATAACCAACAAACTTCTGATAAAAATTTAATCATAATTGGCTACAAACTCAAGCACTAATTGAAGTCATTATTTATGAATTTCTCTCTTTTTTCTATTTTTTATTGTACAATTTGGTATTTTATTGTTAATCCATGTCATTTACGAACTCATTACATCGGCAACGGTAACAGTATGGCAAAGACAGAATTAGTATTTGATAAATTGGATTAGGATAAAATTGTGATAGAAAAAAAAAATGCAGGTGATACTTCCAAAAAAAATTTAGATGTTCTAGATACAAAAGCACATGGAGAGAACAAGAAATGATAAGAAAAAAAAAAGCGTAACAAGAATCTACAAACTTTTTTTAGCCTGAGCAAGGTTCCGACCGGTATGCTCTTGAGAGACCAAAACATTCTCTGCAACAAAGAGGAAAGCTCAAACATTAAAAAAGAGAAAGTTGTGTAATTTTTTGTTTCCCGAAAGTGTGAAAATTAAGACGACAAAGTCCAATAGAAATAAAGAATAATACCAGAAAGAGAAGTGGGAGCAAGAGAAGAAGAGAGAGCAATTAGGAGAAATGAAAAAGAAAGAAAGAATGATCGAGTGAAAGCAAAGGCCATGACTTGATGGATTGGGAGAAGAAGGCTACAAACGAAGATATTTATGACGGAGATAGACTTGACTTGACTATTTGATATTTGAGTAATTTGATGTTCGCACCTCCCACGTTCCAACCTTATAACGCGGTAATGTTTCTTAGTAAATGAATCAAAGTTTTTAACTATTTATTGAAGAGTTAAATGTATAATTAATATTTAGTTTAAGTTAGTTATTCTTCCTTGTTTTTCCGTTACTTTGTTAGAGGTTTTTTTCTATTTTTTTCTTCTTCTTCTCTCTCTCTCTCTCTCTATATATATATATATATAAAAGACTGATAGCTCCAGTAGGTAGAATTTACTTTTATCATTCTATGTAGTCAACGCCAATACAATATTCTTATATGTCTTTCTCTTTTTCCAAGCTAAAACATCAAGAAAAACTATAGGATAAAAAAAAATATAAGAAAAAAATTGAGGGGCTAGCATAAGAGAAGAGAGGGTCGAGCTAGTGTCAGATCTTGTTTTTTTTTTTACAAGGTAAAGAAATAAGCCACGATAATTGATTCAATGTGTGTTCATTTTCACGGGATTTTTTTTTTTTAATTTCTATCAGATATCCATTCACATTATTTTTGGTGAAATTTTATATATAATGTAACTTTTGTGTTACATAAAAAGAATTTGTTTTTTAAAATATGTTTTTTTAATTATGTTATGGATGATAATAATGAGAATAAGAATTTGCCTTAGTTTGCTTGTGATCAACATGGTGCTTGTAAATTGGCTAATGTAATGATTGAGCTGAAGTAGTTTAGAACATGGCAGTTCAGCGAGTTTTGTTTGTGATAATAGTACTGAACAAACCTTACCATCCATCCAATGTTCGTTAAAAACATTTTCAATTTAGGTGCAACAAAAAGGGAAACTTTATGCACTGTAAACCTTTTTATTTTCTTTCTATTCTCAAAACTGTCTAAAACTTGAGAGAATATTTCGTACATGCGTAATTACACCTTTACACCTATTTACTATGAAAAATTACAAGAGATTTGAAAGCAAATGTATACTATATATTGTTATAACCCTATTTATTATATAAACAAAGTGGACTGTGTACCATCCCCATTCATTGTATTTCTCCGTATGCTCTACGAAACTTATTAGGCTCGAAATGTATACTCCTTTTGCCTCAGGTTTCGTTGGTCCAAGCCAACCTAGGTGTGAGTTTGCACCAAGTCTTCTCTTTGATGGAAATATTCTGTATCCTGCCAAGGATCTGTGTTGTTGAACGTTTACATGATTCAACAGAATAGTCTTCTTTGCTGCAAGAATAAACCTTGTTAAAAACGTTTTCAAAAATATTCTTTTATGCTACTGTAATAGGGAGATTTAAGACTTCATTATAGCATTATACCTGATAATGAAAAAAAATGATACACGACAAGAACAATAGGATGGGAAACACAATGGAATAAGAAAGGAAAGCCAAATTGTACTATAAAATTGTGATCTAATTCAAATTTTAAATGACACTGGTAAGCTGTAAGAAATCACCAGCAGAATTTGGAAATTGCAAGTTCACTTATCTCAAGATGTAGAAATCGTGTTAAAATAACAAAGGGAAAATACTCCTTCGGAAGTTCACATTCATTCAGATAACATAGTTCATTAATGATAACCACACATTGAATAACCAGAAAACATCTGAATATATAACTATTATGCAAGAACCAACTTACTCGGCACTTTGTTTTCTTCAAGTTCTCCAGCATTTCAACAATCTCAAGCTGCTTCATCACTGCAGCATGTAGTACCTGCAGCAAAAGCACAAAGTTTAAACACCACCCTATCACATAAGCATAATTAGAAGTTCTACATGACTTGGAACATATAGATAGATCGATACCCTCTTGGTCTTTTCAAGGTCACACTCAACAGATTTAATCCGATCCATCGAATCCATAAGCATTTGCTCCTTCTCCCGAGGCATACGATCAGGTTTGTTGTTAAGTTCCTCAAAGATCTTTTCTAGTCTCTGGAGACGTTGTATACATGGAAGAATATATTCTCTTTCAGAAGCTGCTTCAGCAGCTGCTGAAAGGTTATTGATGTTATGTTCCCTGGTAATTGATGGGTGAATATTGTTCTGCGTTCTCCAAAAATCGATTGTTAAATTGCGGAGGAGTGTAACTAGTTTTTCTGTGAAAAGTTTCAGTACTCTTGCCACATAGAAGACATTTATTTTCTCTGCTTTAACCTTGACAATGCTGAACCAATTGCTGCCAGAAGTAACTGAAAAAAATCTAGTTAGTTCAGTAGATAAGGACACTATTGAAATACTTGCTAATTAAATTAGTTAAACCTAGCATGAAGGGCAGCTACTGAGTTTTCAACTTCCACAAGCAAATATGATAAGGTATATCTGCAACTAGGGTTCTAAACACCATAAAAAAAAATAACTTCTTGAACAATTTCATGACAATACCTCCTGAAACTGTTCTACAAGCAACATTCCCTAAATCGTTAGTTCGCATTGGCTGCTCTCGATTAGGGCGAAAATTATCACTTCCAATCACTTTCTCAACTGCTAGAGAACTATCATCACAACTGTAGTAACCATTGAGATCTGGTGCTTTAACCTGCAGAAGATATGGCATTGGGTATGACTAAAAGCTCGAGACACAACTATAAATATTGTGCATGTAGGTAAAGAAAATAATGAAGAATCTCAGATAAATCAAGTTCTAAGGTTCCAAACTGACTTCTTCACAAACTGGGGCTAAATAAGGATAAGGACAGCTACTGTGTCTGTTCGGAGAGGAGTATTCATTCATATCAGACCCTGATTCAGCTGTTGATGTATCACTGCATCTTTCCTGGAAGATGATAAAAAACAGTTGAAAGTCCATATATCTAAACTAAACACTTGTTGTGAAGTCCCAACTTCTCAATGCCAAGAAGACCAAAACTTGCCTTCAACGGGTGCATTTGAAAGGAGTCATGTTGTTGTCCATAGGGAACTTTGATGATTTGCCTCACAAATGTTCCCTCCTCATTATGTACCAGCTAAAGATCAGAATATCCAACATTAGTTGAACATATACTAGTTTGTTTGACAAGGCAATCCAAAGTTGTATATATTTTCAGAAGCTGACACATGTAAATACTGAGAAACAAGATATACAAATAAACATTACCTTCATTATGTCAGGATCATTCCATGGACCCTTGTTAGACCGAAGACATCCACCTTCTGAAGCACATGTACAAGAACCACCCAGAAAGTCTGGCAACTGACTGTACAGAGTCATTTACAAAATCCAAGTTAATCAATAACTTGAATAGAAATTAAAATGCAATATGATGAAGACAAGGATGTATACCTGGAGTCAATGACTTCCAGTAATTTATATAATGACTTAGTTTCAACAATCTGAAAATTTTGGAAATGAATGTAAAGTCAGTGGAACTGCAGTAATAGATCTTATGAAATATTAGTTGGAAGCCTGAATGTTGTAGTATTCACCTGTATCTTCGCAATAGTTTTGGGATCAAGAAACTTCTGTGCAGCGGGCCAAAGCATCTTCTTAAAGCCAGAACCAGCATTGACGATATACATTTGATGTAATGTCTGTAAATATACAGTATGAAGTTTTATAGAAAATGAAGGAGGGATGTAAAGAAGTTAACTTGGGAAAGGATGGGACAAAAACCTCAGGATAGTAACTGCTATCTATCTTTGTCATAGCAGACAAGAGATTTGCAGCAGTCCTTGAGAAATTTTTCATTCCCTGCATTACACATATCAAGTCCCAGACAAAATTTCAGCAGAAAACCTTTTTAGTTTTAACAGCTTAAAACAAGGAAGATCCTATCCTAAAACTGAGAAACACCCAATCAGGAGCAACCCCCTTAGTAAATACATTGGATTGTAAAATATGAAAGGCAGATAATCGTATTTGATAGAATGCTTAAAGGATACGTACTTAAATAATCTACTACCAAAAGGCAGCATAAACTATCAGGCATACAAAGGGAAACAACAATAGAAATACAGCTGATATTAGTGAGACAGCTTGCAAATAATTGTGTAATGCAACATACCAGCCCCTGAACATCCAATATTGTTGTTGTTGAAGAAATCCGTCTCTTTGCTGCAATGGAACATGCTGGAAATTTCTCGTGCAAAGTCCTCTCAAACTCCTGGACATGATATTTCAAATATCGATCTATTGTGGTGATGCGCATTAGGCGGCTTGGATGGGCTTTCCCAAGTCTCTCTATGTAAACTGGCCTACCTTCCCTATCAACCCCATGGTACCCTTGAGGATAATACTGCAATACTTCTTCCAGCTCTCCAAATTCAAAATCCTTTAAACATCATTATCACATTCACATCAAAGCCAAATAAAGTAAGTATCAAGTATCTTTATGCTGATGCTGAAACATTCAAAGATTAAAAGAGCAAATAATTCTGTTTTATCAAGGACTACTAACTCTCCTAAAAGCTTAAGCCATTAGGCAAATAAATGGTTTTATATCTAACATATCCCCTCACATGGAACAGTTGTGCTTGATGGACGGACATGATCATAGAGACTCTAATTATATCAAAGCCGAACTCTATAAAAACTTAAGCTATTCGGTGGAAGACTGGAAGCCCACCAGTGGTTTTATTTTATTTGTATATAGCATGCGTCACTTGAAGTGAAAACAATATAAATTTTGCCTTGCGTATGAAGTTTTCTATAGAAGAATTAGACACCAATGGCAGAACTCTTCTTGACAATTTTACTTGGTCATAAAAGCCTAAATAAGACCATCTCAAGGACCAATTCTAGTGAGAGCATAATCTGTGAGATGGAGGTTCATGCATTATTTTATGTTTAACTTGTACAATTTACAGAACAAACAGATTCAATTAATAATCAACAAAATCAGATAAATCAAGGAATTGATTATACACACTGAAAGGTTCTGCGGTCCAAAGCAGACTATATATTCCTTTTAAGGGGTATGACATTATTATCATTACCTCGAGGATGGTATCAGTTCCATATTCCTTTCGCCACATAAGCATTTCTTCCCACATCTGAATTGTCTTCTCAATGTTAAACTCCCTAGCTTTAAGGAACCTATCAAGAAGTAAATAGCACCATAGCAAAAGTGAGCCAAAAGACAACACTACATATTTGTATGTGAACAACCTCTTGAATTGATTATATACCTTAATAACGTATGATAGTCATCATGCCTAGCAGGCAAAGACCCCCTTTCAACAAGTTTTTGGCGCAATTCATGGACAGCAGTCTCCTCCCTGGCATCTCTTACATCCTCAATGGACACGGACGGAACCCGATAATCAATTTTCCTTTTCCCTCTTTTCTTAAGAGAATGAGTGAATCTGGAAGAAGCACTCATCGCCTTCTTCTTCAAGTTCCCAATTCTCGACCGCCGCCTCTCGTCTTCCGAGTTCTCAACATCAGACCTCCTCTCTCTACTCTCCTCATTACTACATTGCCCATCAAACCCTTCCACACCACATTTCACCACCATCCATTGAAACACAACATCATCAGCAATTCAATTTACACACTAACAAACTCACCTACCAATCATCACAACACACGTAAAACCACTATACAACACAGCAAAGCAAAAAAGGAGCAGAAAGTACCTAATGTTGACATTTTAGTCTCAATACAAAACCAATCACAGTTGATCCAATCGTTGAATCAGCGAATCAAATTCACACCAATCATAAATTCCTGCTCCACAAAAGGAAATGCATTAAAAACACAGAATTAGTTCCTAATAATATTTCACCGAATTGTAAGGTAGATAGAAGAACTCTTAAAATAAAAAATCAAACCAAAACGTAAAATGCAGAGTCATCAAATCAAATAGAATCAAACAATCTAGAAATGAACCTAACACGGTCTGAGAATCGTCGTTCATGAACCTTTTTCTAGCTGTTTCACTCGTTCATTCTCAAACCAAAATCAAAAAGCACCAAACTGTCAACCGCAGCGACAACACAAAATAAAAACAAAACTCAGAATTCCAAAACGACGCGCCGTTTCTCGAAGTGAAGATTTTCCACGATTGCAGTGAAGGAAGCGCGAATGTTAACAAGTCGAGAAAGAAGAAGAGAGTAATATATATATATATATATATATATATATATATATATATATATATATATATATATATATATATATATATATAAATTAAGAGTTGCTTTTAATGAAGTTGGTGATGGAAGGCGTTAAACGCATGAACGAACATGAATAAATAATAAAAATATATATTATAAATAAAATTAATTAAATAATAATAAGTAATTAACGTGAAGGGTTGGATCCGTGGTTGCATTTATTAACACCAAACTTTACATAAAAATAAATTCATTTTCTGAATAATTCTTCATTTTTTATTTCAATTGGATCTCACATCAACAACCAACTACTCCACAATCAACCCCTTTCTATTTCTAACCATAGTTTTTTGCATTTGTTCTTATTATTATTTATTATTATTATTATTATAAAGCTAAATTTTAAAATGAAAATAGAAAAAAAAAAAAATGAATTGATGCAATGAAGATAGAGAGAATGCATACCTTTTGGGGTTTGGGAATGGAGAAGAGAAGAAGAAAATGGTGAGGAATGTGGATTCTTCTTCTTCTTTCTATTATTCTTCTTTCTCTCTTTTTATTTAATTTTCTGTTTATTTTTCTCATTTTCTCTTTTTACTTTTTTTTTTCCTTTTTATTCTTACCATAACACAGGCGTGAATGCTCATTTTAACTGTAAAAAACTTGTCAACAGGAAATAAATAGTAAAAAACAAGAAAATGGAAAATTTAACAATTAATTTAAAAGTACCAACCACATTAATTATTTTTAGGCTGGATAATTTGTTTTATATATACTATAGGGTGAAAAAATTATACAGAAATTTGATTGTATTTATTATGTATTTTCTTTATGGATTAATCTTCTAATAAAGTGTAAATTTAAGTTAAATATTATTTTATTTAAGAATGAGAGTATTTTAATGTTATAATAAATTATTAATATTTATTATGATCATTTATTTATATAAGATTAGTAAGGTTAATTTTTATTTTTTATTTTAAATTATTACAATAATATCTTTAAAGTTGTCAATCTTTAAATATAATATTGTGTGTTTTATTTTTAAAAATATTTTAATTATTAAAAAATTATTTAAATTATTCTTAATCTTAATTTTAAACCATTTAAAACTATCATCGTATTAATTAATATATATAATTAGAAGAGAAGAATTCAATGTATTAAATTAAATAAAAAAAATAGAAAATGAAAAAAAATAGGATGATAGAGACATGCATTACTGTGAAGGTTCTATTAACATGCGTCACCAAGAACTGGTGTCATGCACTCTTTATTCGGTGCTTTATATTTATTATGTGATTTAAATTATTTGTGGGAATGCCACGTGTCCTTTTTTATTTTTATTTTTCTATCTGTGTTATTCTTGCGTGTCACACTCTTTTTTTTATTATTTTTCAGCTTATTTATTTTCTCATTTTACTTATATATTGAAAACAAAAAGTTAATTAAATCGTGTAAACTAGGATCTTAGTCTCTATATAATTCACAAAGTTAGATTTATTTATGTAATTTAAATTTATAATAAATAAATACTTTAATATACATAAATTGTATTTTAGATTTTAAAAAAATATAACTTGTATGATGGAATACAATTACCTTTAATAGTTGATAAATTTGTTTAAAATATTAAAATTTAATTTGAAAAAAAAATTGATAGATTGAAAATACAATAAGTTAAAGAAAACCTTAGAGATTTTATAAAAACTCTTATTCATAGAGAGGACAATTTAATCATTTAATTATTCTGATCTGATTTTTCAACTTTCATATAAAATAATTAAATGATTGAATAAAATTTAATGGATTAAATTAGGAAAGTGTAAAAATTCATATGATATCATTTGAAAAGATTTCTTTCAAATTTGAATTTCTTGAATTAAGATCAAATATATAATTTACGTGAATTGACCCACTAACGAAAACATACCTCAAATCTTTGTAGCTTTTGCATCACTTGCCACCGCGTTGGAGAGGGTTTTATAAGACAATAATTAACTCTAATTATACTAGTGGTGTAGGAAAAATAATATTAATAAAGACATTACGAAAAACATTAATCAAATTACTATTGAAGACCTAATTATATGTAAAAATATTTCTTGAAAAACGAAAAAGAAAGTCAATTGTTCTATTGTTTTGTTTGTTTTTAGCCATTTATTCTCTAAGCTAATTTGTGAGCGAAAATTTGGACAAATATACTCTTGTTTGGATCTATTTGTATAAATTTATGTGTGGATCTTACATAATGAGAAATCCTTGTATTTGAGCAAAGAAATGTTTAAATTAAAAAAAGAGGTAAGTTGTTCAAAAAAACTCGGTACACAATGTAGTCCACATAATTAAAAATGTAGAGATTCTCTTTGCATGAATAAAGTGTCATCTACCATGTTTAGTATAGTGTGTCTCAACCTAGTGATTCAAAACTACCCATGACCAGTCTTTTGCATAAATATTTAGTAGTCCTCCATCCCCTATTTATTGACCATGTGGAGAGGACAGTTGGAGATGCAATTATTCCAATGTTTGCCTCCTTTGTCAACCTCTATAAATGTCACCCCCACCAACGACACTACACTACACTACACGCTTTCTTTCTTTCTCTCGCAGCATCCTCCATTCTCAATAGTGTCAATTCATTTTTTGAAGTTCAAAGGTGATCGAAAGTGAGAAGGTTCGTGTTCCATCTAGTTATGTATACAGTATACCTTTTTCATTACAAATCCTTTGAGATATTTTTCCTTGAACCAATGATTCCATTGTTGATTGTTGTGGCTGATTGTGTTTGCTAGTGTTGTTGAATTATATAATTGTAGTTAGGCTATTTATATTGTTGTTCGGAATGTTGCATAGTAGTAGATTATATATGTTGTTTTAATTGTTGATGACTGTTGCATAGAAATATTGCATAATAGTTTATTAGGTCATGTGTTAGAAATATTGTTTTACAATTTTTTATGAAATCTTGTATAGAAATGTTGCATAATAGTTTATTAGTTCATGCTATTAGAAATATTGTTGTTACAATTTTTTATGAAATGTTGCATAAAATATCAAAATAGTAGTTGGTTATATCATGTTGCTAGGCATGTTGGTGTTAGAATTGTTGATGAAGAATTGCACAATAGTAGAAGGTATATTGGATTATATCATGCAATATAATCGAATATGCATGAAGCTATAATTGATTATGCATCAATGCATGTAATCCCTCATAATCCAATATGGGCTAAGGCATATTCGATTATGAGGTCACCCATAATCGATAATTAAGGCTTGCATATTAAAAAATGTGGCATCTTGATGAACATATTTTATCAATAATTTTATTAATATAATGTATACATATTTAGTGTATTTTTTAATTAATTATTAATAGTTGATATATTTTTTGTAAGAAGGAAATAAATACATCTTAATATAATTTATTGTTTAAACTATACATTTTAACTATTGCATGAATGCAGGGCCAGCTCAAGGCCCAAACAGCTAAAGCCCTTGCTTTAGGCCCTTTAAAAAAAAGGCCTCCCAATTTTTTTTAATACTAATATTATTTCTAACAATTTTTTTTAATAAATCATATTTTTTTAAGAAAAAAATTGGTTAGTTAATATTAATAGTTAAAGAAATCCAAAGGTTTTTCTTTTTTATCTATATTCTTTTACTAATTTTTAAGTTTTTCTTTTTTACAAGTGGAAAAGGTATTTTTGATGCTATTATAGATGAATTAAAAATTGTTAGACTTGATATTAACGACCTTAGAGGATAAGGATATAATAATAGATCTAATATGAAAGGAAACATCAGGGTGTGCAAAAAAGATTTCTTGATATTAATCCTAGAGCATTTTATACTCCATGTGGTTGTCATAGTTTAAACTTATTACTTTGTGATATGGCTAACTCTTGTCCTAAAGCTACATCTTTTTTTGGTGTGTTACAACGTATATATACTTTATTTTCTTCTTCTACGAAAAGGTGGAAAATTTTACAAGACTATATACATAACTTAACTCTCAAATCGTTGTCACAAACACGTTGGGAAAGCCGTATTGAAAGCGTGAAAGCTGTAAGATTTTAAACTTCACAAATAAGAGATGCTTTTATTTGAATTAGTTGAAGCTAGTGATGATCCTAACATAAAAAGTGAAGTTGATTCTTTAACAACTTATGAATTAGAAAATTTTGAATTTTTGTTAGGCATGAATATTTGGTATGACATTTTAATCGCAGTTAACTCAGTTAGTAAGAATTTACAATCAAAAGATATGTGCATTGATGAAACTATTGAACAATTAAAATATCTCCTTTCATTTGTTGAAAAGTACAGAGAAAATGGATTTGAAAATGCATTGATTTCTACTAAGAAAATTGCTTTTGAAATGTATATAAAGCCTAAGTTTTGTGAAAAACGTGCTAGTCATAGAAAGAAACAATTTGATGAAAATGTTATAATGAAATTGTAAAATCTTTTCAAGAATCATTTAGAATTGATTACTTTTTGTACATTGTAAATAAATAAATTATCATGCTTCAAAGTAGATTTGAATAATTTAAAATATATGAAGATATTTTTAGTTTTTTATTCAAGTGTTAAAAAATTAAAATCACTAGACTATATACTTTTGAAAGAAAAATGCTTAAACCTTGAAAAATCTTTGAAACATGATAATTTATTGGATCTTAATGGATTAAATTTTTTTTTAGAATTAAATATCTTAAAGAAAATTATAGGATTGAAAAATGATAAACCAATTGGCATTCTTAATTATATAAAAAGAATAAATTTTTTTCCAAATGCATATATAGCTTATAAAATAATAAAAAATTATTTATGATCAATTATATCTCAACAAAGATTAAATGGATTGACTTTATTATCTATTGAAAAAGAAATATTAAATAAAATTAATTATAACAATTTAATAGATAATTTTGCATCACAAAAAACTCAAAAAATAAATTTTAAATAAAATTATGATATATTTTAACATAAATTATTTTATTACTAAATAAAATGTCTCATTCTTAAATTTGCTTTAAGCCTCCCAAATCCTTGAGCCACCCCTGCATGAATGATAAGTTAAAGAAATTATAAAAGCTAAATTTAATGGAATCCGCTTAGCACTTTTGAATATGCTCAGCGAAATCAGCCCAGAGACTTCTTTTCTAAAAATTAGCAATTCAGTGCTTCTTGATCTACTGAGCAAAATATGTCAGTTCTCATGTAACTAATCTAACTATAAAACCGCTGAGTGTTTTCAAATTGGTTGAACGAATTCGTCGAATCTCATTTCTGCAAAATATTGTTTTAAGTTCTATTATGTAATTATGGGACTCGAATGGGCCTTGATCATTTTGTATACCTTTATTGTTGTATAAATAAGCCTTTGAAGGCCGAAGTTAAGTTTGAATCATAAGTTAATTTCCAAATTTCTCTAGTTTAGTTCTCAAATTCTCTAATTTCTATTGATGTTTAGCTTCCAAGTCTATTCATGGAGCTTCTTGTACGAATGATATTATGAAGTTTATCAATTCCAGTTGTTCTGAATCAGATTTGTTTCATTTTCTCTTTACTTCTTCATTTTACTTTCTGTATTTGTCATTTTTATCTTCTTCCATTCAATTTCTTCACTGTTGACATAATTTCTTTGTTTTCCATTTATTTATCAAGTTCTAATTTGTTTTTGTTGTTGATTCACCTATTGAAACTTGTCTTCTATGGTTTAGATTTGTTTCTTAACGATTCTAACTTATTATAATCCATTACAATCAATGTAATTAAAGTTATTTGATTGAACGTATCATTTACATCACAATTCAACTTCTAGGTTTAAGTGATTGTTTGATTTAGGAATTTAATTGTGACTACGAATTTCAAATGGATTGTAATTGATTGAAATTGTTATGTATTTATTTTTGTGATTGCAAGACAATTCTATAGAAATCAATGATAATCATAAAAGCACATTTATAATTGAAAAATCAACACAATTTCTTACTATAATCTTTATTGTTCTCATTTTCATTTTGATTCTGCTTTTACTTTTAAACCTTAGTTTACAATGTTTCTAGCAAACTTCACACCTTTGTAGAAGTAGATTTAATTCAATTCCTTTACTCTCTGCATTTACAACTTTTATATATTAGATTTATAAGCTTTCATTTACATGATTTCATTTACTCTTTCTTTAAATGTTTTCTTTAATTGCTTTCATAGTTTATGTTTATTGTTTTTATTTACATGTTTTCATTTACTGCTTTTAATAAAATAGATTATTGCTTTCAATTTACTTTTCTGCATACCAAAATTACAAACCCCCCCCCCTTATTTCTTGGCTTTTGATATTAAAAATTAAGATTTAAACAAAATAAAGTAATTCTCCTCGAGGACACGACCTAGGCCAGCTTTAGTACTGTATTATTTTCATTGTAAATTCTTTGATGAGATCTAGGCGATAAGATTCACTTCGTCACCTCTCAACTCATCTTCATCCTTGCTGCCATTAATGGACTTTGATATCTTTCTTTATCTTGTATGAAGAAGAAGACTGTGAGTTGCCATGGTGAACCTCCACGGTGATTGCCCATGATCACAGCCATGGTGACTGCCCATTGTCACAGTTGAACTGTGTATCATTGTAGCAGAGTCATTTATATTGGGATGTCATCCACGAGTTGCAAGACACGCATGGATTGGGGTGCTCCATGCCAGGTGAGCATATAACTGAAGGAATGAGAAGTTATGGGGCATGGATGATTCAAATGAGAAAGAAAAATGGGAAGTTATGGGGCATGGATGATCCAAATGACAAAGAAAATGAGGAGTTGTTGGCGCTCCTCTCGCATGAAAAATGGAATAATGGGCCTGCAAATTTATTAGTTATAATGAAACTGGTTAAATTTGGTGGGGACGAGAAAAAATGACCGATTGAAACGAATGAATTTTACCTATTTTTAAAAACTTAATATTTTTTAAATTTTAATTTAAAAATATTTTCGAATTTGATGTACTATTAAATAACTTGATTTGTTAAGTTTTTTCCATTTCATGTTTACAAATTTATTATTAATGATGGGGTTATGTGTGATTAGGACATGCATAGTTGAATATAATTAAACAAAATTAATTTAAATTTTTTTTTGTGCAACATAGAGATTATTAGTTGACCATGGAAAATCAAAACGAAGAATATATGAATTTAAAAGAAGAAGAATTCAGTACTAATGTGCCGGAGATGGATATGAACTTAATATGCCAAGTTCGTGAACATATATAGCAAAATGTCAACATTGCAGTATTAACCATCTTATGTAGTGTATCATTTGCATTATACATGTTAGATCACATGTCTACCAACAACACAATCAACATTAACCTCTATGGTCCTGAAAAAATAAAAAATCATCGTAGATATGAACTAATGTCATATTTGATTCATTTGGAGCGATATTGTGATATTATACGCATAGGACCCGACGCCTTCATGAAATTGTGTCATCGATTAAGAATAATTAACATCATCAAAGATGTGTTTAGGTCAACAATTGAAGAACAAGTTGTCAAATTTTTACACATTTTAGGCCATAATGTTAAAAATAATTTCATGTCATTTTTCTTTCATCGATCGGGGTAAGACAATGAGTAGACATTTTCATAACATGTTGAATGTGATAATTGAATTAGAGGAAGAATTTTTTGTTCAACTATCAAGAACGAATGTGCAAGCACACATTTATAACAATCCCAGATTTTATACCTATTTTAAGGATTGTCTTTGTGCGATTGATGGAACGCATGTTTGTGTCAAAGTACCAGAATCGGAAGTCCCTCGTTTTCGTGGTAGAAAATATTGATCAACCCAAAATTTGTTTGTGGTGTGTAATTTCGAAATGAGATTCACATATGTGCTAGCAGCGTAAGAAGGTACTTCATCTGACTCACGAATTTTAAAAGATGCCTTAACAAGGGAGGATCCATTGACCATACCAGAAGATATGCAGCATATGACGACAAACATCATTTATTTCTTAACATAAACTATTAATAACAATTGCTAAGTAATGTTCTTTTGTGTAGATAAATATTATTTGGGTAAAGCATGATTCATGTTAAAAGCTCAAATTATAACTCCATATTAGAGGTAAGGTACCACCTTAAAGAGTATTTGTGAAGAAGTCATATGACTCCTCGAGAATTATTTAATTATTATCATTCCTCATTGAGAAATGTAATTGAGAGGACATTCGGTATGTTAAAAAAAATATTTTCCATTATAGCAAGTGGGGTTGAACCCCACTATAGTTTTGAAATATCGAGAAATATAGTTTTGACATGTTGCATTTTGCACAACTTTTTACGTGGAGTAGATAACATGAAATATTTTCTACATGAAGTGGATCGAGAATTAGAGGAACAAGCGGATGATACGTCTGCAACACAAATTTAAGGTGATGATTATAGGGAAAGAGATAACTTAAGGGATTTGATAGCAGCCCAAATGTGGTATGATTATGAACAATAAATTATGTTTTTTTTTATTTTCTTATTATTCATGTATATTTGTGTGTAATTGATGATCTATAAGTTAATATCATCATCACTTGTTTAATGTAAAAATTGTAATTTACGTCAACCATAATAACAATGGCATAAAGTGACATAACTTAGTTGTTTCCAAGCTAACATTGAATAGAGGAAAATGACAAGTTGATGCAAGCCAAAACATGTGAGACTTTAGAAAATGGACTGAAGCTATGGATCTGTAATTGCTAATTGTCATGTTTGACGAAACTCGGGTTGACAATAGGATAAATAGCAGTTGGACCTGTCAGACCTATACAAACATTGTAAAAGTGTTAATACAAGCATAAACAAGAATAACGTATAAAAAACAAGCAAAAATGTTTGAAAGATCGATGGTGTGAAGTCCACGTTTTGTTTAGTGGCCTCAATAATTTTGCATGGAATGAGGTCATAAGGATGTTTGAAGCTGAACATGAAGTCTGACAAGACTTGATTCAGGTATTAATGTTGAAGTAACTAAGTTACATTTTAATTATAATAATCAACGATTTCTGAACATGTATGCAAATGTTTTATCTCATGAAAAACCATCTATTACCAAATGGCATGTCACTTTCATTAAGTTCTATGACTTGTTGGAAGAGCTATGAGGAGTTGATCGTGCCATGGGGCATATTAGTGGGACCGCACGACAGGTTCGGCAATGACACGATTTCACATTCGACTTGAGCGTTGACCTAAATGAAGATGCAACAAATCCCTTTCTCCACCAAGACTACACTCCCTCATTTACTAAGATGCAGCCTAGTCCTCTGCGAGTTTATTCATAGAGTCTCGGTGTCTCTCCATTTGCCCCATCCAAAGGCACCTCTTCATCCAAGTGCTCCAAGAGGAAAACCCACATAGTCGATGTTGATCTGAATTCACAATTTGAAACGATGAACATAGGGATCCACCAAATGATGGATAGGATGGGGAGAGTAACAACCAAGATGACAGACTTGGTGTGAGTGGCAGATTATTGTTGTATAGGATTAGACCGCTGACATGCGTAGAGAATGGACTTGTTTAATAAACATATTATGATCTAAAAGAGCTCTATTACGCCACATTATTCTGCAATGGATATATAACAAATGTTATGTGAGCTTAACCTTATTGATGATCAACTTTAGCTGCAGTGGTATGACTTTATCTGCAGAAACCCCGTCTATAAGGAGATGATTTTTTGCCTCCTACAACACTTACAGCTGAATTACTTGTTGAAGCACATGAGCAGTGGTGACCCGTCTTAGTTTTCATAGGATATCTGGACACATCTATCATGTTTTGTAAATAATTTAACATTCGGGTGGTCTGTAATGCAAATGAAAGATCCTTGAAAAAGTTAAATGTTATTAACATGGATTGTGTGTGGTAACACGATCAGGGTCACCATCCATAACCAACCGAGGTTGAGGAAGATTACCCTTCAAGTGAAGATAAAGTTGTGAGGGTTGATCAACATGAAGTACCCGTTGTAGGAGAGTTAGTACAACTTCCCCCGCAAGCTGATTTGATTAATTTGATATGAGGAGGTATCCAAGATATGCAGACACGTATGTGTAGACTCAAGCTGAATGTTCAAAATAATTATCAAAGTTTACAAAGAGACATTAACTACGTGCATTATAGGATTGATCAGGTGGAAGATAAACTTCATCATTTGTAGGAGTCTTGAATAGACCTCTCATCTAGGGATGACAATTATACATGTACCCGTAGGGACCGACTCGTCCCAGTCCCGAGTTTGACGGGGAAAATCCGAGTTGACTGGAGGCGGAGGCGGGGGCAGGTTTTCCCTGCTTTAAAAAGTTGGGGGCGGGGATGGGTAATATAATCCCCACGCCGACCATCCGTCCCCGCCACAACTTTATATTTAAATTTAAATTTTAAAATATTAATATTTTAAAAGTATTTCATTTTCTTTTTCTATTACATATAATGTCATTTTTTATATTTTACCAATTTTTATTTTTCTTCTACCCACTTTTTAATTTTTTTTTGTATTTTTTGTCTTTTTTAATCTTTTATATCAATTAATTTATTACATTATTCTCTCTCTTACCTTTCAGCTTTTTCACATTTTCTTAATTTCTCCCATCAATTTTTTTTTCAATCTTTTTAACCAATTTGATGAACACAAACAGATGACAGATCTTCTTGGGAGCTGAGGAGGCCGTGGCCCCCAAAGTTTTACAACTCTCATGTAATTTATGATTTTTGTTCCCCCAAACTTAATGAACATTTAATATATTTACTTGTATATTTACAATTTTATCCTCTCAGACTCCTCCTCGGCTTTGTAACTCTCATATAATTTATGATTTTGTCCCCCTCAAACTTAATGATCATTTAATATATTTAAGTATATATTTACAATTTTATCCTTTCACATTTTTATATTCTTACTTCATTTTATATTTATTAATAATATATTATTTGACCCCTCCAAGATCAATGGTCAAGATCCAGTCACTGAACACAAAGTTAATTTTTTTTCTTTATCTTTTTCTAAATATTTTACATAAATCTTAATAGTAACTAATATTATTTTATTTATAATTTATATTTATTAGGTTTTATTGTGTCATATTTTTTATCTTATTATTCTTATTTATCATATATTAAACTTTATCTTAATAAAATAATTATATTTTAAAGGATTAAAAGGAATTGATAATTTAAACTTTTATTACTTCGAACTAATTAAATAAGAATTAACTTATTAAATATTTCTTTATAAACTATATATTTCATATTTTCAAATGAAAACTTAAAAATGAATTAATTTATATATATACATATATATATATATATATATATATATATATATATATATAATCAAATATTTGAATACAGTATTATAATAATAATAATAATAATAATAATAATAATAATGTTATATTCAAATATTTTAATACAGTGTTATAATAATAATAATAATAATAATGTTATAAATATTCTATATATATATATATAAATAAATAATGATCAAATATTTCTTTTACATACATATTTTAATATAAATAAAATAAATTAAAATGTATATTTAATTAATAATAATTATAAATTATAAATATTTATTTATATATAAAAAGTACATAATAAAATTAATTTATTAATAATGTAATTATTTTTTTAAAAATAATATAGATCGGAGATGGGGCGGGACGGAGCGGGAAACCCGAAACTCAACAGGGACAAGATGGAGACTTAATTTCTAACCCCAACGGGGATCGGGGACGAGGATATAGATGGTTTAAAAAGTTGGGGGCGGGGATCGGGGAGACAAAATCCGCCCCCGCCCCGTTGCCATGCCTTCTCTCATCCTTGCCCAACTTCATCTATTTATATGTATTTTTATTTATGTATTTCACTTATATTGTTTACTTTGGATGACTATACGTTTATTTGCTACACTTTTTATTTTTGGATGACTGGAAACTTATTAACTTGAATGACTGTATTGTAATTGTTTTTATTTTTTTTGTTGGATGACCGTAATAATATGTCTTATGAACATGTAATTTGTGTAGTTGGATGACTATAATTAGAATGATTTCTTACTCCAATTGTTTTTTAATGTTTCAATAAAATTTAAATATTATTTTATTTAATATTATTTTACATTGAATAACAACATTATAATTTATTTCAATGTTATTTAATTATTATATTTAATGTAAAATAAAAAATTAGAAAAAAAAATACAACAACTTATCAATTATTATTAAGATAATACAATTTTACTTTATTAAATATTTATTCAAAATATCAAAAATTTTAAATATATAATTTAAACTACAACCAAAAAATATTTTATACTTAATATATAAAATAATTTTCATTATACTTGATATATAAAATAATATTATATATTTAAATATTATGTAGAATATAAATTAATTAACTTTTTTATATTCAATTATATCATTATTATTATTATTTTACTTAATTTATCATTGTAATAGCAAAAGTATTTTTGGTTCTTACACTAGAAACGATTATTATTTAATTTTTATATTTGATTACATAAATCACATTGTCTATAATAAATCCATTCAAATATTTTTAAATCTACTATATTTCCCCTCGATCAACTAACTCTATAATTCAAATTCCCGCTCTAAATTTTCTTTCATACAGTTCAATCATAGTAGTCGATAACTATTTTGAATTTTTACCAATTAATTACAAAATTAGTAAGTTTTAGTATCAACATAAGATTAGCCTTATTTCTAATAAAACAAGAAGCCACAGTTGATTGCGGCAAACAAGAAATCAGAAAAGAATTATAACAAGTGGTCTCAAGAAAATACTGATGAAGTTCATGCTCAACCTATGATGTACAGATACGTATCCGATATGATGATTCATCTTATATTAAAAATTGTAAGATACGTTTTATATATATATAGATAATTCATAAAAAATATTATATATAATTATTAAATATTATTTAAATTGAACACATTAAATATATTTTTAAATATATATACGTTTAATATTTTATCTAATTATGAATTTTTTATTTTAATTAAATATTTAATTTACAAATTAATAATTAATTAAATAATTTAATTTATAAATTTTACATAAAAATAAATTATTATGTATATTGTAATAATTTATAATAATTATTTTAAAAATATAAATTTATTAAAAAATAATAAAAAATATTAGTATTTATATAAAAATTAAAATTTATATTAATTATTTAAATTATTAATAAATTTTAATTAATTAAAAAATAAACTATAAATAATTATTAAATAAAGTTAATCTAAAAATAAAATATATATTATTAATAATATATTATATATTTTAAAATCCAAATATATTAACTAAAATTTATAAATATTATATTACCTACTACCCAATATCAAGAACACGAAATGAATCTCAAGTTGAAAATGTGTTGTCACATCAATTTATGTTGTAACACTCTATAAGTTAGAGCTATTACACATTAAAAAAAAAGTAATCGTATACGTTAGAATACGCTAAAAAAAGCTATTACACATTAAAAAAAAAGTAATCTTATACGTTAGATTACGCTAAAAAAAAGCAAGATAAAAAGAAGATAAAAGAAGAAAAGATAAAAGAAAAAGAAAATACACAAAAGCCGGAATAAATATAAAACAAACTTGTGATCGAATGAGCGATAGAAAATCAAGGAAAGAAAAACGATAACAATTCTAAAAAAAATATATTAAAAAAAATACATATTTAAATAATTAAAATATGTTTGGATCAATTTAAAAATAAAAAAAAATATTTGTTATTTTGATTTTTTTTGTTTGGATTTTTTTTTCAACTCTCCAAATAAAATAAAATGTTGAAAATAAAATATTAAAATATATTTTGATAAGTATTTAAATAATTGAAATATGTTTTAATTAATTTAACACTAATAATAACAAAAAAATATTTATTATTTTGTTTGGATTTATTTTTTATACGATTTTTTTAAGTATGGGGTGAATCAATATCAAATAGGGATGCTGAATACGTATCCGTGCATCATTGTGATCTACCTAAAAAGAAGTGCCGAATGTGCTTCAGAAGTGCTCTCTTATTTTAACTAGATTGTGAACCAGTGGTTGTAACCCTAATTTTCCTATTAAATTTACTAATCAATGATAAATACCTTTTACTGTCACAATCTCCAGGAGGAACATGATCTTCACAAACAAACTAATAAGGCAGTAATTAATTTTAGTAAAAGAATTGAAGGAAAGTAAAGACAACTAGCAATAGTAAAAATCTAAATGAGCCCAAAAAAGGTATTTTCACAAATTTATAATCTACATTAGATACTACAAAATGTCACCCATACACGCATTGAAGTAGATATTAGCTGCCTCACAATCTGGGTACAAACCATAATAACCTTCCTCACAGAATTCCAAAACCATATCAAAATTGTCATTGCAAGCTTAAATATAACCCCATATATAATATAGACAGATCTGGTGAACATATATCCAAATCGCCTAACCAACACTAAAAAAAAAATCACCAAACTCAATTGGACCTTCACTACGTGCTACCATCTTTAAACCTCCCCAAACTCAATGTAAACACACTGCACATAGAAAAAGTTAGAACTGACACTACGGTGCCAGTGCCCCGATGGCAGTTCAGGGCATTCATTGACAGCAGCACCAGTGCCATGGTAAGTGCTGATGTAGAAAATTAACACAAGCTCCAAAAGCCCCTCTCACCCATTAGGACAATTTACCCCCTGGTCTTGGCCCTCTTCATACCAAGGCTGTTTTGGAATGGTGAAACAGAACCAGACATGGGAGAACCCTCCTCACGAAGAGTGCCGTTCAGCATAGCTAGTTCTCGAAGTTGCTGCTTCTTGTAGAAATCCTGAGATTCATCCTGAAAGATGAAACTTCGAACAATTAGAACAAATAAAATCCTGATAGAGTTGTGTAACACTACCAATATCAATTGAATTCACAAGAACATACCACCGGTTTGAGCAAATCTTCAAGTATGTCACGTGCCTGCATCAAGCGTGCATCAACTATTTCAACAGGTAATTCAGCCTCAACTAGGATGTGGAGAGGTTCGTTCAGATGTTCATATCCAGGTTTTCCTCTCATCATTTCCTCCTACAAATATATGACAAAACTTGTTCAGCAAAACTACCGAACAGTCCAACTAAAATCTACAGACGTAAACATTAGATTTACTAGAGTGGTTAGACACCAGAGAGTATAGAAATATAAACTACAAGCATTTTTACCACATGTACATTAAGACAGTACAGGGTGCTATACCAATTATTAAATCAGTTTGTCAGGATCAATGGAAGATCATGATAACCAGAGGAAAGTAAGAGATCTATACATAAAATGCCTAGTAATATATTAATCAGATGTTGGAGTAAACACAATGATTTGATTTGATATCATATGACATGTCGAAATATCTTCTCAACAGATTTCAATCTTTCATCATAGTGCAGTAATTTATGAGGTTACAAATAATCATGTTAGACGTGGTACAAGTAATGAAAATGTTCATTCTTACCCTAGTTGGATCCTTAATGCTACCTCGGCCCCTGATCAAGACACGACAGTCAGTGCTTGCTTCTACACGCTTTAGAGAGTTTCCTCTAGGGCCTAAGAGGCGACCAACAAAGTTATACTGCAATAAACTGAAGTCAATAGTAGATCTTTCTACAAAGTAAAATTTAACATAAATTAGGGCAGAGATAAGATCCTTCATACATTAGGGTATGTGTCCACAGGTATATCTACTCTGACTGTCTTTTTAACAATAAGACCAGATGAGCTACCTTGTGGACTCAGCCAGTTTGTTGTTGGTGAGGACTGTAACAAGCTGGGTCTCTGCATGTTTTAAATCTAATGTCAATTACAAAAAGAGATATTGTAGTCTATTTACTGGCATGCTACTGCTGTATCAGAAGCCACCAAGAGATCACCAAACGAGACAATACTAGCTGCTCAAAGTTCAAAATAAGTTGAAAACATATAATGAAAAACAAACACAAGCAAAGAGTATCTACGGCCATGAGATGACATACATAAAGACAAAAATGTACACATATGTCCTGACTATGACTCTCAAGGAGGACGAGTGTTTCAGAAAATAATGTAAGATGAACTTTAAAAATATAGCTGAAGTCTTACAATTAAGACATTAAGATAATTTATAAGCCATTTTGGCAACTCAGCTAATAATTCATTAAACCTCATAAAAGTTACAGTTTCACTTTCCTTTAAATGGCCAATGTTAGCTAGCATTCACCCATAATTCATGTTAATACACTCAAATTTATCCAGCGGCAAATGTTCACCCCATCTGTGATTTGGAAGAAAAATGTGAAGACAGCCAAGTATTAACATCCGATTTATCTTGATATAAAAATATGAGATCCACTAGCAGGATTTCAGAAACAGAAGCTAAGCTATAGAATAATTATCAGATCCTGATGTTAGCTTTGCACTACCTGTCACAAACAATTAGAACTACAATCACTAGAACAAATGTCATGAGTTAGCATGAGAAGTAAATTTGAGTCAGAAATACTTCTAAAATACAGAATTAGATGAAAATGAATTAATGAAGTTATGTTAATGGTTAGTATCCATACTTCTGATTGAAATCGTGATGCCCATCCGTTCATATCGGCACCTCCATTTGAAAACATTCCTCCAGTAGCCAGGGGGCTAGCTTGTTCAAGCCCACCACTTTGACCTAAAACTGATGCATTCCCCATCAGCGATGTTACACGCAAAATTTCTGCTCCAAAAATGTCAATTTTCAAGAAGATTTACCAATCAGCATTTGTTAACATGTTAGCAGTCACTACATAATCGATGCAACACGGATGTTTGCTGAGTCAGTAAAAACTAATGCTATCCTTATGATATATGTTCCAGCTTTTTATGGTAGTAAGGTGGGAATATGCACTCAATTGTCACATAATATTTAAAGAAAAAAAAATATTACACACTTAAATTGAAAAAAGAAAACCTTTAAAGCCAATTAGCAAACCATTGAAACAGGTATTTCCAACATAAAAATCTAATTTCAAAACATCTTTCAGAAACTGAATGACATCTAAGAATTTGTTTTCACAGAAACATTTCAATAGTTTAGACAATTATCTTCTAAGCACATACTATTAGAATAAAATAAAGCAGAAATCACATATACCAGCTGGAAAATGTTCTTTTTTCTGCTTTTTCAGAAGGAAAACAATTATCAATAACAAATCATACCCCATAACTTATCACACTTAACTCTGCCGAAACCAAAATAATTGAACCCTCAATGTCCTATTCAGATAAGTTAAAGTTAATGGCGTGTAATTTTATCAATTCTGTAACAACTAAGACATCAACTCAAGAAAAACACCTTTCACACTCACTTAATAAGTATTTAAAAAATAATTTCACAATTAAAAAAGTATATAAGTAAGGGTTCATTTAGGAATTGAAGGAAAAGAGGAAGAAATGAAGCTGAACAAAAGGAAAGAAATTTAAGGGTTAAGTAATGACTTCTTTCTGGATCTTTAAAATCGTCCAAATAAAGGAAATTTAATATGTTCATAGAAAATAATAAGTGAGGATCTTCTAAAGTTACATGATAATATATCGGTTTCCTCTGAACATTTAAAAAGCTCCCAACAGAGAATATTTTCTAAATCCTTCTCCTTTTTCCTCAAATCTCATTTATCCAAACATAATAATAATAATAATAATAATAATAATAATAATAATAATAATAATAATAATAGAAGAGGGATTATTTGTTATAAGGTGAACGAGAAGGCTTTCCATGATGTTTAAGACCCCAATTCCTGCATTTATTGAATCCCTCAAGAAGAATTTTCCCAACTTTTTGCTTTGAATTTAGGGTATTCATGTCATGAACAAGTTAGGGTCCAACTAAAACTGTGCAGGCATTATTATAACACCCTAGACTTTCAATTGAAATCAAGAACATAACACAGATTTCCTGACACTAGTTTTGAATTTAAGTCAATTAAAAATCATGTGACTTGCAGAAAACTAAGCCCAGCAAGATGAAAGGTGTGCTACAGGCCTTTTAGAAGGCCATTAAGACCAAATAAGCAGTCTTTCCATCAATTAAATCAGGAAAACAGATCAACAGGTTTTTAAGGATTCTCAACCTAGAGTACCCCAGGTTGAATCCAATTCCCACTTCTGCCACAAAATTTGGTTAAAGTCAATTAAAAGAACATGTGACTTGCATAAAACTAAGCCTAGTGAGATGAAAGGTAAGAATACAAGGTGACCCACAGGCCTTTTAAAGAGCCATTAGTAGCAACTAAGCAGTCTTTCAATCAATTAAATCAAAAAATCAAATTGGAAGCTTTTTGAAGGATTCTCGACCTGAAGTTCCCAGTTTGAATGCTATTCCATTTAAAATATTCACCATTTCTAACTAATTACATTCTGTTGAAGCTGGTCTCTGTCATTTCTCTCTTAACAGCCAAAAAAAGCTGTGGCAATTCTAGAAAGAACATTTCACAAGAGAAGATAAACTGTAACAATAGATCAAGTGGAGAGGGATAGAGGAGAAACTCAGCATCGATATCTCTGTTTGGAAGAAAGGTGTATAGAAGGAGAGAACTCCTTCACCAGAGTGGCCCCTTCCACAACCTGTGAATGATAGGCTTAGTACAACAACACAAATCCTTTGCCAACACTGAGTGATGACTGGTCACTTGACAAACATCTAATTTTTTTATTTTTCTTCCGTTCCTTCTTTAATAGACCTTACAGATCTTCTCTTCAATTTCATCGAGCAGGGGATTAATACCATCTAAACCCATTCCGCAAACCCCCATTAAAAAACCAGTGATATTAGTTTAAATTCTAAAGTATTAAACATGTCAATCATTTCATTAAACCCTTCACATGAACACTTTCATACCAATGCTCCCTATTCATACTACATTCTTAAACTTATGACCCCAAACTTCTCAATCTCAACAAATGCAACAATTAGTAAATGAATAAAATATATACACATATGTACTTATAAGCGTATAGTTAAAGTGTAATTTCTAGCAAAGCATGAAAATACATACACGATAGTTAAAGTGTATCTTTGTCTATTACCCTATGCACCTTTATAGTGTTGTGAACATGATAGTTGCAGATTTTCATAAATAAATCAGCACAGGTTAGTACAAGTCCACAGCTATGCTCCATCCAAGTATTGTGAACATTCACACAATTTGTTGCCATAAAATCTTCAGCTACCAGAATAACTTTATCATTCATTAGAAAATTTTTACACTTGACTGGCTTCCAAAATTGTGTCTAAACCATATGATAAAACTGGAGAAACAATTGATATACTTTCTGACTTATCTTTCATCAAGAAAAGGCAAGTTAGTGAAGTACAGCCATCAATGAAAGAAATTAACCATTTATAACAAAAAAATGCTAAAAATAGTGGCTGGGCCCCAAAGCATCAGGCTGAATAAGATCAAAAGGGGCACAAGGAAAAGAATGAGGTGTTTCTGGCAAATTGAGTGACCAAACATCAAAATGAAAGGACAGAAAAACACATTGGAGAATAGAGACCAAAACATTGATATTCATGGTGTAAAAGGAAGGTATGAAAGATAGTTATGCCAAAGCAAAACTAGGAAAACAGTTGAGTCTTTTTCATGCTCGCTCTGTTTCTTTCCAGTTTCTGCTGCTTCAAAAGTTTCACATCAGTTCATCAATTTCAATCTTGAATCACTGTCATGCTCAAATCATCCACCACAATCACATACATAATCTTTGTCTCTGCCACCTCCAAATCTTCCTCACCATTATAGTCAACTGCAATCTCACTACTGAGTTCTTTATTTTCTCTTCCCTTCATTTTCTTTCCTCTAATTTTCTCTCCATTTCTGTAGCCTCAGGGTTTACTCATGAGAGAGAATTTGGTTTTAAAAGAACCACCACAATAGGTGCAGCTCAAACTATGGCCCACCAAAACAAAGAGGGCTGCTGCCAATGAATAAAAGCAGATAAGCAAAATGTTCTATGGTGCCTGGGAAGATGATACATAGAGCACACACGTCAGCAAGGGGGAGTGACATGTGAGGGCACATGTGCAGGACTTCACACAAGATGGTACATGGGGAGCACATGCCAGCCAGGGAACTGGCATTCGAGGGTACATGTAGAGGTTTCCAGCAGCAGGTCTTCAGGGATGGCCAAGTCTGCTTGACTCGGGAGGTCCTACAGCAGTAGGAGGATATGTTTTGGAGATGTTGTAGCAGAAAGGAAAGGATAAGCAACGAAGATGCAGAAAGGAAGTTGTGTCAAAGGCCAGTTTGGCCAACTACACGAATTCAGTTAATCTGAAGCTCTAATAACATGCTGGGAGGGAAAATTCTTAACATTACTTGATAGTTTGAAACTGTACAGAGACAGCACATTTATATACGGTAAGTAGCATCATTACTTCCCAAGTAAAAGCCTAGAATTATGGAAACTGGCTATCTTTCCTAGTTTTACAATAATTAGGGTATGCTACACCAACTTAAAATGATAGAATTAAGAGATTAACTACACCTCTAAATAGAATACATACATTATGTATGAATCTGCCAAAACATATTTCATATCTCTGAATATAATCAAGCAATTCACATTGAAAACAATTAGACACGTACTTGCCTAAATTGGGTGCTTTGCAAAATACATTATTTTATGCATCTTTAATGCAACATTAGTTCGACAACTACATTAATCCCCATAGTCCACGTTTCCTTGGGACTACAAAACCTAAATGCAGATAATCAATCATTATTAGTTTAAAATAATTAAACGTTTCCATGAAATTTACATACAGCTCTACAACATTTAAAATGAAAAGTATTGAATTTATTCATTGGTACAAACTTGTTTCAATTTGTTAAAGCACAGGTGTCGAACCCCATGATCTACCTTGGATTGAACATTTTTAATCATGAAATACATATGAAACATCACATAAATTTGAGTTTCGAATTATGCCAAAGTTAACAGCCAACTGATTAAGTGGCTTCGCAATTTGATAGATTCTGATATCCTATCCCTATTCAACTAGGGACTAGGAGGGAAGTAAACTGATTTTCTGATACAGATAACTTAAGCACAGAGGGAGATGCAGTATGACGGGGGGAAGGGTGGAGCTAAGCTTATTTTCACCAATAGTTTGAAGAAAAAAATCTCACCTTGGTTTAACAATCGAAAGCATTGGGGAAGCACAGCCATGAAAGGACTAAGCTTGTTACGTTCTCCCAATAACTCAGATAGATATCTGAAAAGCAAAGCAACAAACTACACAATGAGAGTAGGACATTGTAGCCATTACATTACAAATCACAACAAAAATTACAATAAAATAAACTTATCCGGGATGAAAGATCCATGACAATTTTATACCTTAGTAGTAAATCATGAAGCAAAAAAGATAATGAATAAAAAGTACAAAGACAAAAATGACAGTACTTTCACACACAATCACCAACAATGCAAAGTCATCTTTCGCAACAAACAACAATAAAGCCTCCTCCCACTAGGTCAGGTCAAGTACAAGGATCACACAACAACATAAACCAGATCAAAGAAAAATACTTCTGGAGTGGCATGTAGTGCCAACTTATTTCCGCCAGCAAGGAGAACTTACTGCAAAGCAAAGTCATCTACAGCAAGATCAACTCATTTGCGGCAAAGATCACCCTGAACAAAAGCAATCAGTGAACAAATGAACCCAGCCAAAACAACAACTCACCGCAACAAAAATCAAACCAAACTCAATTCACAAACACGGAATCAAATCCACTATCCACAACCATTTCCCGTTTCCACCAAAAAGGATCCGTTCTCCCAACCAAGTCCAGAGAAAGCGGCAGATCAGGTCACGAAAACCACTATCCAAACAATCAAGCATGAAATCCAACCACGAGCCGAAAAAAAAAATTTAATCAATGATTGAAGTGAACACAGTGCTACTCCCCTTTGACCATTCCCGGAAACCAAAACCCTATCCCCCTTCCCACCCTTAAAAAACACGAAAAAACTCTCAGCCGAAGTCCGAATCAGTTAAAACAAAAACAACATACAAGGCGAGATGATAAATAGAGAAAGAATCCCGGAAGCTAAATTGTGAAAATCAAACGCAATAAGTAACAATCAAAGCGAAGATCCAAGCAATTCATATACATATATAGAGTAATAGCGAGTGTAATAGTATATGACGAGAGAGAGAGAGAGGGAGATACTTGTCCTGCTCAGCGAGGGCGGATGAGCGAAGAGCGGAGAGGTGCGGCGAGGGAGGGGCAGATGGCGAAGGCGGAAAGGCCATGTACCTGCCGGCGCCGGAGGAGGACATCATGTCTCCGTGAGTGTATTGGCAGCGCCTCACACAACAACCACCCTTGCGATGGAGTGTGGTTGGTGAGAGAAGAGAGAGAGAGAGAAGAGAGAGAAAGGGAGAGAAAAAGAGTTGTGATGTGTGTTTTATGGAGGGGGAGTGATGGAGGTGGGACCCACCCAGGTAGACGTGCTCTCCCTCTAAACCAGCCACCCACACTCTTCGTCGGTGCAATTATTACTGCCCTTCAACATATTACACTGTTCATCACTCTCTCTCTCTCTTTTTTTTTTTCTTAAATCATTTGTAATTCATTTATTATTTTTCATTGTGTAAATTCAATTTATACACGTGTTTTTTTAAGCTAAAATATACCCTATTAACTACAAATTACAATAATATTTTTTTCTTATAACTTGTCAAAATTTATTAAAAATTAAAATTGATTTCACATAAAATTTTATTCCTATCCAAACAAATATATTGTTAACTTTTTGTAGAGAAATACAATCTACACATAATCTAAATATAGTTAAATAATAGTAAATTCATAATTTGTTAAAAAAAGTATATACTTAAACTAATAAAAAAGGTTGAATTTAAATTTAACACATATATGATTAAATGGTAAAAAATTAGAATAAAGTAAATAAAATATAAAATAAGATAAATAGATAATAATAACAATTATTATTATTTGTATTATTAATTTGTGTGGCAACCATCATTCCACACCTACCCCTCTCACCAGTGCAATTTAATGCACTGCACCAAATTCAGGTGTTCTTCATATAACAAATTTTTTAGTTTCCTTTTTATTTTTTATTTTTTTCCTCTATGGTTATCAACAATGTAATGTTAGGATGAATTTATTTAACTATTGTTCAGCATCATTTAATTATTATTTATTATTATGCTGAAATTAAATAACTTAAACAGTATCAATGTAATTATTTATTTTTAGGATCAATATAATTAATTCCTTTTTAAGTTGAATACAATTAATTCTTTTTTAAGATAAGTATAATTAATTTTATTTTGGGATAAATGTAATTAAATTTTTTGGGGATAAATGTAATTAATTATTTTTAGGCCTTATAAATATTTATTGCTATTATCTTTATTCCTTGAATTTGGAACTTAATTAATGCAAACAAATTAAGAAACAATGCTTAAGACAGATAAAATATTGTTATATTTAATATAAAACATTAAATCCAAATTAATAGCTTATTGTCATCAATAATAATACTACTAATATTATTATAATTATAATAATTACTCCTATTAAAAAAATAACCAACTTGTCATTATTATAAAAAAAAACTAAATTTTATATATTTAAATAAGGTTCCAAATTCAAATATTATAAATATACAAATATTATTATGTTATTTAATTATAAATCTACATATATTTGTAAATTCATCTCAATAGCATATGTTTAAATATAGCTTTTAGCACTATTTATGTAGAAGTAATTATAAAGATTCATAAATAAAAGATTATTTTTTTTATAAACTGTATTTATTAAATATAGAATGTAATTAATTATGATAATATCATTAAATATTATTTTTATTAAATTAAGATGTTTTTTAAACACATATATGAATTAAAATTAATTATTATTAATAAAAAGAAAAAAAACTAAACATATTAGAATTTGTTTTATATAACTGTAGTATTACATTTAATATTTAATTAAGCATTTAATATTATATTTTCAAGTGTGGAATCTAATTAAATATTTTATATTTTATATTTAATTAAAAATTTAATATTAATATATAAATTAATTTAATTTTTTTAAATATACAAATTAATTATATATTTATTCTAATTATTTAATTAAAATAGAGTAAATTACATTAATTGAATTTATTTGTCAATTCTTGTACTAATTCATTTAATTGTTGGGCATATTTTATTAATATCTGTTACATGATATCAATCCTCCTTGGAAAATATTAGAATTTTATGTAATTTCAAAAAATATCAAAAGGATATTCGTATAATTTAATCTTAAAATTAGTTTATATATTTTTATATTTATTCAATACATATAATGTATTGGATATAATATTTTTCTTAAACGTTATTTTATCAAAAGTTTGATAACATTTTTTTAATTTATATTCTGTTATTACAGTTTTTAAGTGAGTTGATATTATTTTTTATTAATATCATGAAATTGTCTAAAAAGATATATAACATAATTGTATCAAATTATGTTCTTCCATTAGATAAACTACACTGAGAAAAAGTACTATTAATTCATTTTAAAAAATTAAATATTATAAATAATAAGAAGAAAAAATTTAAAGGAAAATAATCACACAAAACAAGTTATTTAACTTATGAAACATTATCATGTAATTTATTATATTTATATTTATATAATGTGTTATTAAATTATAACTATACATGAAAAAATGTTTTACAGATAATTATTCTAAAAGACATCATTAATGATTTGTAATTAATTAGTAGTATAACATGTTATTATTTTTTATTTTAAATATATATATATATATATATATATATATATATATATATATATGTATTCATTATATATAATATGTTATTATTTTTTCTTCCTCATATTTTTTCTATCTTATAAATATATAACTTATAATAGTTATAAAGGAAAATAAATATTTTTTATTATATGGTATTATAATATATATATATATATATATATATATATATATATATATATATATATATATATATATGACGTTAAAAAATATAGTACCATGACTGAAAAATATTAAAAATTTAAAACACCATATACTTTATAAATATAAGTTTAAACTATACAACATAATATTCTTCAACAATAACAAAGTTAAACCTAAATAAATAAAAATGATAAATATTTTAAATTGTTTCTTTTAAATAAACAATATTTATTGAAAAATCATAAAAAATATATTTTTCTTTGATATGTTATGAACAGGTTCTTTTATTCATTTTTATAATTTTTTCATATATTTATCAATGCATCAACTTTTTAGATTAAGTGATTTTCACAACATCACAACTTTTTATAATTCAGTTCATCAAAGTCTGCAAACTCATTTACAAATATATTATAAACATGATTCTATCCTAAAAAAAACTATATATATATATATATATATATATGATGTTCACTGATACAAAAACTAGTGCGGGAAATGCATTTCATAACTTTATATAAAATGTCACACAATCTCTCAATACATTCTGTAAACTATTGATTAATTGAAAAAGAATGACAGTGACACCAACAACACAGAATCAACTTCAGTGTCACATGACTAAGTCTGTAATGAAAAAACACTGTTATGTCCCAACAAAAGTGATTTAACATTTGCATGTTAACAAAGCAGAGATGAAGGTGCAATGGAGGTAAGAGCTCAAAATGAAATATGTATAGCTGCCATACTTATATCAAGTAAAATAATTTGAGGAGTTCCTTCATTCAATGTGACTAAAAAGAGAGAAAGAATCAAAGTATATATAGAAAGAGTGTGCACCTTTCAATTTGTATGTGATCAGTTTGGAAAATATTCCCTGTTATATAACCCAAACATGGAAAGAGTCAAATAAAGGAACCCACTTTTACTAGTCCTTTCTACAAAAGTATCACACCATGCGTACCTGAGATTTTTTTTTTTTTTTTTTACCTCAAAAAAAGTGTTTTGACATTTATAGTATTTGCCCCAGAATTATATCTTCAGGGTGTTTCAGTTATTAAGATTCCTTCTGCATATGTTCATTCACTGCTAAATATTTTTCAACAATGATCCTCTGGAATCTGCAAGTTCATCTAAAACCAGGCACGAATGAATCGCATAATAAGGTAGGTACCAAAGATTCAATACATTACAAGAGAAGGCAGGAAGCAAAACAACATTAGGTGATGCTCCATTCAGGAAGTAATAAAATACATTTTCTGCCTTTTGGCTAAGATCAAGTGTGATTCAGGAAGTCAAGTTAGAAGAGTTTAAAACCATGAAAATATACTTCAAATAAATGGGGGAACTGTGTATATATTGCTTAAATGGCAATGATTTTATTTTAAATATAATTTCAGTCTCAGGAAATTATTTAGTATAAGTCAATACTTGACAATGTTCACAAAATAATTTGATATACCAAATACAATATCATACCAGCTCATGACTTGCACAGAACATTCCAACTCCAGCTCAAGCACATCATAACAAAAATGTTTTGCATTTATCTACAAGTTGAACCAACCAATAACTATAATTCATTACATTTTGCAAACCTGTGCTCTATCATCAGTATTCACATCAGACTAGGGCCATGTTTAGGTAAACGTCTTCATAAGCACTTCCAAAAGAGAATAAGAAATAAAAAGTGAAATAAGTTTCTCCATAAGTTAAAATCAGTTTATGCACAAGTTACAAATTTAATTTGGGTAAATGAAAAAAATTCTACAATAAGCTAGTTTTAGCTTATGGAAAATTTTATTTTATTTTTCTCTCCTAGAATTATTCATGGAGAAATTTATCTAAACGGAACCTAGATGGAGGAAAATTATAGTCCAAAGCTGATCAACATCATATACTGACCTTTTTCATGAATATTTGACTGACAGTCACTCAAAATTTGCATGTATTGAATGCCAACATCTCCGATCTGTGCTTTAAACCAAGGAAACGCCCACCACTGCATACAACAACAATAAGACAACCAGCTCTAACCAGTTCATTAGGGTATATTAGTACAGGTTACATAGAACTGATTCAAAATCACCAACATAAGAAAACCAGCCTTGCCCCTGTTATACTCATTTACATTTCTGGATTGGCCTAGAAATGAAACTTTACTCACGGTATTGTATAATTGTAAATTACAACAACAAACTTAGATGGCTTTTCTTTTTAAATAACTTTTGCATAAGTACTGTAACCAAATAATTGCAAGAGGTATGCATCTGGCCAGAGAGTATTAAAAACAAAAAAGAAAAAGTAAAGTCCACCGATAATATAATATAATAATATAGAGACAGACAAACAAAGAAATCCTCGTGTTTCCTTTATCGATTTGCAGCTTCTAGTACAGTATAAACATATACTAATCTATCTATTTGTTACATGGTTTGGATTACGTTTATGCTATAAGCTATACTAAGTGTTATATGGATGAGATTTGGGTTTTCAAACCAAGTCAAGTTCAATTCAATTTCCTATCCATCATAAGAAATGAGAAAGAAAACCCGGGTTCGCAGAGTAACTAAAACAGCTCAAACTCTTCACAATCTTCTATATCCTCTAAATCATTTGCATTCTCCTTATTTGCACCCATAGATGGAGCACTGCTTCCAAAATCCCGAAACTTGGGGAGCTCTGGTGGTGCTGCACACCGTATTAGAGCCCAGTTGAGGCCTTCAAAGAAGGGGTGCTGCTTTATTTCAGCAGCACCTTTTGCAGAACCTAATCGATTTTCAGGATCCTTTATCAACAACCCTCTGATCAAATCTCTGGCATGAAAACTGACTATTGGAGCACCTGGGAACTTAAGGCTTTGTGACACAACATTGGCTAATGTGTCTTCATTTGATTGGCCCTTGAAGGGAGTCTTACCATATAAAAGCTCAAACAGAAGTATACCAAAAGTCCACCAATCTACTGCACTCCCATGACCGTCACCCTTGATGATCTCCGGAGCAAGATATTCATAAGTTCCAACAAAGGAGTTAGACCGTGCACTGGTAGGCTCCACCACAAGCTGTGGCAGTGGACCAACCTGAGAAGTTATGTCAGACTTCACCTTTCGAGATTTTGCTCCAGCAGATAATAGAATGGGAGTAAAGCAGGAAACTTGCCAATCTGGTTGGAGACAGAAAGGGTGTATGCAGCTAGCCTCAGAACAGGGACTGGAGGTCTTCTTCGTGGCATCCGTGTCAGGTGAAGATGACTTGACTAACATTGGATTAACAGAACACCTGAGTGACAAGTCAAAATCTGTCAGCATAATGTGTCCATCTTCTCGTACTAGGATATTTTCCGGCTTTAGGTCTCGATATACAACTCCCAGCATGTGCAAATATTCCAGGGCGAGAAGAACCTCAGCAACATAAAACCTGCATATGTGATGTCATGACTATAGTGAAGAGCATGTGTGAAAAACACTTATCAACTTGCCATGCATTGTCTTGCAGGAATCTGTTTCTGGTAAAGTGAAAATAAGACAATACAGCATTCTTATAGGCATAACACTTCGTGGAAAGAGTGTGTATAAGATGTCTAAACTATACAATCTTTTTACCTAGCAAACTTAATCATCATCTTGCTGTGTTGCAGGCAAAACAAGATAATTTCAAACACTGTTCTTTAATTCAGTTCTCTCGGGGATTCCTATAGTTTCCACTAAATCATCCAACCAATGTGTGCGTACATGTGTGTCTGTTCTGTTTAAATTTCATTCATTAACATTACCTCACTTCCATTCTCTAAAAAATTAAACAGGCTTTCTAGCTTAGTGCATAGCATCAAACATAAAATGATACCTGGGCTTAAAAATGTATTCTGTAATGAATAAATTAATTAAATTTCTACTGGACTTCTTGAACATAGAAAATATCTTGGGTTAAAAAAATACGAACTTACTCTAACCAGACAAAGATTGGATTTCGAAACAGAAATATAGAAATCCAGGGAAGAGTGAATTTTAGAATATATTTTTCAGTAATGAAGGAGTGGAAAAGTCCACAACTCCTACCTGGTTGTTTGTTCTGAGAAACTCTTGTATGACTGTCTCTGCCGCAGCACATGCAGATCTCCTCCTGGACAATACTCCATGACCAAGCAAGAGAGCTTATCTGTTGCAATATGGCAATACAATGTAGGAAGAAATGGATGATCTAGCATTTGAAGGATCTCTCTTTCAGTTTGGGCCCTGAACATTTTCTTCCGACTTGCCAAAAATTCATTGTCCATCACTTTGAGTGCAAAAAGGCAGCTTGTACCAATTAGTTCCGCAAGATAAACAGTTCCAATGTCTCCGCTACCAAGCCTCTTTAGCAGCTTAAAATGCTTCAAATTTAAATTACCCTGTTGCTGCTGCACAGCTCGAATAGCTTCCCATCTCATGTGTTTAGACATGTGAGGTCTGTGGCCACCGCGGCTGGAACCACTTAGGCTGCTTTCCTCACTGATGCTTGTGCTACTACTATATTCACCAATGCTACTTTTTGAACTTTGAGAGAACTCACCCTTTTCCTTTGATCTTGATTTCTCGTCAACCTTTGTCACCAGAAACTTAGTTCTCTTATTGCAATTCAAGCTGAAACCAGGTTTGCTTGAATCCGTACCAACACTAATTGAGTTAACTTCAATGCTAGGAGACAATTTTTCATTTTCTTTCACGTCGTGCTTCAAATCAGAATTCCCAACCTCCTTGTCCAAATTTCTTGTACATGGAGTGGAGCAGCTTGAGGCAGAACTTAAATCTTGCTTTACTTTTTTCTTAAGGAAATTCAAGTTATTAAATATTGGCTTTGACAAACATGTATTACTGCTTGTGATTTTATCCCCTCCATTAGCAATGCTAGAGCTAGGTGGACAACATGCATTTGCTTCCTGTCCCTTAACTGGCATTGAAGAACCAAGAGAAGTGATGCTCGAGGAAGCAGGACCCCTTCTAACCTCTGGCACTACTTCACTTGCAGAGGCAACTGGTGACAAATTTGCAAGTATTGGTTTTCCAATCTCCATGATTGGTTTCTCACCCTCAACCTCAAATGGCAGAGGAACAATCTGATCTTGGGATGAAAACCCAATTATCATTTCTTTTGGTTTTGTTGCATCAACCGAAGGACTACAATGATGATTACTTGAACTTGATGTGGTTACACAGGGCAATTTATTAGAAGGTGTAGTAGATATCTCTGGTACTAGAGAAATTTCAACCAAGTTCGCTTTCCCCTCATCTACCACCGCTGTGTACAACCTTTTGATGGTGCCAGCCTCTGATGCTCTAGATGAACTGCACGGCTTAGAGAGTCTTTTCAAAGCAGCCATTTCTGAGGCCTGAGAGATGCATAACCCTCTAAGTGCCTGCTTTAAACTTACGGGCTCTGAGATGCCAATTCCCGACGCCTGAGATGAAGTGACTTTTATTGGCCTTTTAAGAGCACTCTTTTGTAAACGTGATGAATTGCGACCTCTGGATGAACTTTTAACATCAATAGCCTGGAAAAGCTGATTAATATCATCCTCAATCGAATACTTTTTTCCTGATTTGTGAGCACAACTACTCTCAGGTTTGTCAACCGTTTTGAAGTCAGAAATTAGTTCTTCCCTTGATTCCACTATCTCACATGTATTACCATAGGAATCCATATTGATAGATGATAAGTTGCCCAACAAAAAAGGAAACTCAGTTTAGCCCAATTTCAAAAGATGCATCACAGAGGATTGCTCACACGTACAAACCCACAAAGGGAACCTCCACATTTCTCTTCGGTCATAGCTCTCAACGGATTTAATTGGTTGATTTGAATCCCTTTATTGATCATAACATCTAAACCTGGAATTTTGACATTTCATATTTTCAGATATGTCAAGACAAAAATTATGGAACAAATGAAGAGATTTACTTTAATGCATTATTATTTATCTATGAACTTAACATGAATATTCATACAAGTTCGGAAAACAATGTGTTCAGCTACATAGGCAAGGAAAAACAACATACACATCATTACTCCATTCAAACACCAAGTTGCCAGACAAACCTAAGTGGATATCACCTCACATTTCACAATCTTAAGCCATCCTTGCAATTTGAAAGACCAACAAATTTTTACTACCAAAATGTAAAAAGTGACAATTCATTCCTTGCCCCACTCCCTTAAGGTGAGAGAGCAAGCATGGAGCACCTTCGTGTTCAGATTTGGTGTTTGAAGATGTCATTGTCAAAGTCGGATACTTTTCTTGATTTTGGAAGAGTGGTAAACGCAGGTAAGAATTGATATCAGAGAAAAAGGAAAGATCAAGGCTCATAACCCAAAACATGGAATTAGTACTATAATTAGAGCTAAATATATATATATATATATATATATATATATATATATATATATTAAATGGATTCAAAACCAGGTGAACAACAAGGAAGCTCAATCAAAGAGAGAATTCAAAAAGAAAAACTTTAGGAAATGAAGTAAAATCCATGAAACAACGAACATAAACACAATCACCAATTATCCTCCCCACGGATCAAAACTAAAAAAGAGCTAAAACACCAAAAAAAGTTAAAGCTTTACAAATTACAATCACAATCAAATTGCAAAATCAAGCAAACATAATCCAACAACCGCAACCACCCAGAATACAAAAACAAAATCTGGAACCAACAATCAATTAAGGATACCAACAACAAATAAAGAACAAAAAGGTGATAAACATTACCTGAAAAAACAGGTCCAAAGTCCCAGAAAGAGCAGTGTGAAGCGAAATTGAAAGAGCCGGAAAGCGTAACACATGGAAAGCAACTGAAAGAGGAGGAGCATGCTAATGGTATGGCTAGGGTTTGAAGTTTGAAGTTGAGAGAGAGAGAGAGAGAGAGAGAGAGAGAGAGAGAGAGAAAATGAAAAGGCAAAAGGGTGAATTGGTGAGAGAGGAAAGAGAAAACAGAAAAGGTTGAAAGGGTAATCACGAGAAGGGTGAGAGGCAGAAACAGCAGTGTCACAGTGGGAACAATTGCAATTGCTATTGCTATTAACTACACCTCCTACCACCTACTACTACTCCTCCTCCTTCTTTTTCTCTGTAATGTAATGCTGGAGAAGAAAGAAAAAGAAAAAGGAAAAAACATTTACTATGATTTATGTTACGTTGTGTGTGTGGTGTGCACAACATTAACACATGGTGTTGTGTTGCAGAGACACATAGATTATACCCACGACACTGAAGTGACTGGGAGCAGGTATACATCCTAGGATACGAAACGTGTAACATGTAACCGAACCGATCATTTAAACCACCCTGGGTTTAGGGATTTAAAGATTTCATTTTAATTTAATTGGGATTCAGTTTAATTTAATAAAAATGATTTTTTTATCTTTTTTAAAATGTGAGTATTTATCCAAAGGTACACCAAAAGGTAAGAGGTGTAGTTGTAGGGCCTAAAAGGAGGGTTTGTACATTAGAAGATGAAGGGGACCCATCAATTAATGTTAATGTTAGGCATCACTCATTATTTTTTTCCAACATTTGTGAACTCTAATCATAACATAAATGCTTGAGCTTTTTCCACTAAAAAACAAACAAATCTTTCAAAAATTAGGTCAAATCTTGCCTCTGTTTTTTGGATTCGATTTCGACTAGACAATTGACTAGTAAGTTAGATACTTAGTTTATTTAACTAATAATAAATTATTAAATGTGTTTAGTTGGATAAGCTTTTCTAAAATGTTATTATTTTAAAAGTTATCTTCTTGCTAAATATGTTTATTCTATTCTAACTTTTGAAGTCATGTATAGATTTGTATTATTGCATAACATAAATATATATTAGTGTTGTTTGGTATATATTTTTGTTATAAACATTTATAAATACTTTTCTATCAATGTACATGGTTAGATGAATTAGTTCTATTTAATGTTGTTTTATTATTTAGGTTAATTAAAATTAGTAAATAATGAATTGAGCATTTGTATATAAAAAAATAGTAATAAAAATAATTATTAATACAAAATGTACAAATAATATTTAGAAGGGATGACTACTAATTTATCAAACGATTATAATATTTTTATATAAAATATTTTTATATATTTTAAAAAAAATATATTTAATTATATATATATATATATATATTTAATTTATTTATTTATTTATATTTTTTATTAAATAAAGAGTAAAAATTATTATGTATTAAAATATTTAATTTTAATCAATAATTTAAATTTAATTAATTAATATTTGTTATTTTTAATTATAATATATTTATATATTTTAAAGTATAATATAATATTTTTATTTTAATATATAATTTTTTTTCAATGATAAAATAAAACTAGTTAAACTATCAATCTATTTAAGACAAATAAATAAGACTATGAAACTTAACTCATTTTATCATTTTATTAAAATAATACAATAATAAAATTTTATATTATTAATTATTTATAAAAATAAATTGAATGAGTTACTAGTATCAACTAATATAAGTTAGAATATTAAATAATGATGAGGATAATATGCTGCATATAATATATATCATTGCAAAAGAGAAATAATGATAAAATATGAGTCCAATTTATATAGAGATTGACACTCCCTTTAAAAAAAAACCTTAAAATATTAGTTATGGGTAATACTTATTTCTATTTTATCATTCTTATTATTAAATATATGTAAGAGTATTAACAAATGTAATAGTAAACTAGGAATGAATATAAATCTTTGTACGTATTATTAATATAACCACTAGCGGATCTTGACCATTAATCTTGGGGGAGCAAATAATATATTATTAATAAATAATAAATAAATATAAAAGGAAAAAAGAAGATAAAAGAGTGAAAGGATAAAATTGTAGATATATACTTAAATATATTAAATAATCATTAAGTTTGAGGAGACAAAATTATAAATTATATGAGAGTTACAAAGCGAGGAGGAGTTGAGAGGATAAAATTGTAAATATACAAGTAAATATATTAAATGTTTATTAAGTTTGGGGGCCAAAACCATAAATTACATGGGAGTTACAAAACTTTGAGGGTTCACGGCCCCCTCGGCTCCCAAGATCCGTCACTATATATAACGGTATGAATTATAATGAGGAAGACTAATGTATTCAATAGCGGTATAAGGATAGTAAGAGAAATAAGAAAATATCAGAAGAATATCCTAGAGAGAGAGGATTTCAGTCGTTCTTACCCCCTCTCTTCTCTTTCCTCCAACAGAAAGTTTTTTACTAGTGCTTAGACCACTCAAACTCCTTCAATCGTGAGTTAGTTATTTTGATCCTTGCACTTTTCCTCCTTTCCTGATTCGGTGGGTCAGTATTCACGTGTCCCTCCTCAGCTGAGCTAGCTAAAGTCCCTTTTGCCCCTCTTGAATCCGCATTTGTTACAATTTCTCCCCCATTAAAAACAACCTTGTCCTCAAGGTTGAAGGCAGGAAAAGAATCCAATAAAGCACTATGATCCTCCCCATGTTGCTTTGGATTCTTCAAGGCCTTCCCACTGCACAGACTGTTGAATCTGCTTGTTTCCTCTCAAAATGACCCTGCTTTGAAGTATAGAAACTGGTTGGAGGACCGGACTTAATTCATCATTGGTAATAGGCAATGGAATGATCGTCTCTACATATTTTCAATTGTGAACAGTGAAAAACATGGTGTATTTGCAGTAGGAGGCAATAAGAGCTTATAAGCAACCTGCCCTATTTTTTCTATGATAGGAAAGGGGCCAAAATATCTCAAACTCAACTTCTGGTTCTTTCTAAGTGTCATTGAGTGTTGCCTATATGGTTGTAGCTTTACTAAAATAGTGTCCCCAATGTTGAACTCACAGTGTTTCCTTTTCGCATCAACATATTTCTTCATGTGATCTTGGGCTTTATTCAAATTCATCTTTAACTTGCTAAGGACCACATCACTTTGTAGCATCTGTTCTTGAACTAGGAAAGGGTCTCTAACATCTGGAACATACTTGATCAATCGAGGTGGATCCTTTCCATACACCACCTTGAATGGTGTCATCCTACTGTTGTGATGATAAGCAGTGTTGTACCAATATTCCACCCAAGATAACAGTTTAGCCCATTCCCAAGGAGAGTCATAAGTGAAGCACCTCAAATACATTTCCAAGCATTTATTCAATGCTTCATATTATCCATCTGATTGTGGATAATATGTCGTACTCAGTTTTAGTTTGGTGCCACTTAGTCTGGACAATTGCTACCAAAATTGGCTAGTGAAGACTTTGTCCCTATCTGAAACAATAGTCTTAGGTATGTTGTGTAGCTTCACAATAGTTTTCATGAATGTTTCTGCTACCTGTCCATTGGAAAAATTTGTTTTCAGAGTAAAGAAATGAACATACTTGGATAACATGTCAATAACCACCATAATCATTGTGTAACCATGAGAAAGAAGGAGGCCTGTTATGAAATCCATGGCTAGATCTTCCCATATTTGTTCAGGGATTGGAAGAGGCTGCAGCAGTCCTGAGGGAAGTGTTGTATCAGTCTTGGCCTGTTGGCAAACCAAGCAAGTCTGAATATAATCTTTAATATCCTTGTGCATTCCATTCCAAAAAAATTGTGCAGCTATTCGAGCAAGTGTCCTAGTGAAACCAGCATGTCCTCCCATCATAGAACTGTG